ATTTTGAAAGATGGATAGCTGGCTTATAAAAAAAAACAACAATATCCACTGGGTATTTACGAAGAATTAGTATTTAATATATGTATGTATGTATATTACGGCTTTTAAAAGGAGGTTTTCACAAACTAGTCAAAGGATTCATGTCCATCTCTTTCGTACTATTTGCAGCCTCAGCTGCGCCGCGGTTGTCAAGCAGAGAATAATACCTGTATAAATTGTCCCACTGGTGAACTACGATGGAAGTACCTACATAATTTTAATTAGTGTGGCTCACCCCGACTCTAATTTGCGTTTGTCTATGTAACTTTTTTTGCTAATGCATGAAATTATTGACAAATATCACATTTCACGTACCTACCTAATAGACCAGTGCCCCGAGCACGAACAACTTGCGAAAAAGTATTCGTATCGTCTTCGACAAAATTTGTATGACATTTGTGCAGCGCCTCTGTCGGGCGTAAAAGTAACTAATTTTGGCAGCACGAACGTTTCGAATTTACTTTCGTATCGTCAACGTATCGTCAAGCATTCGATACGTTACACTTTATAAAGAAAATTGGCAGCACGAATGAAATTTTGACGTACGTTCGAAGGCTGGCTATCGAGAACCTGTCAAACTTAGTCGAATGTTTATTCACCTAAGATTTAGCCGTGAGAAAAGTTTCGAAACAATCAATTTCTTTTAAAACTATTATTTTCAAGTATTAACGGTTATTTTTTGTAGAGATAAAATGCAAAGACCGCCGCTTTAGTCCTATGTATGTTCGTGTCGCAAGTTTAATTGATAATAAAGGTATTCAACAACTAGATTCGAGGTGAGCAAATCTTGTTTTATCTATAAAATGTAAACTAAATATTTGTCAGAAATATTTGAAGAAACTTCTACTATATTAATAAAATGTAGTATACTTAGTATGTACCTATTTATATATTAATCTAATTAATTATTTTTTAGTGAAATAAGGCGAAGAGAAAAACAACGAAAGATAAAAGTGAAGAAAAATCTGTCTGTTTGTAATATAAAATAATAGGTTTTTTTTCATGCTCACACGGTTTTTTGCAAGATACCTATGCCTAAAAACCAGTCTAAATATTTTTTGGGTTCGGGTAATCTTCAAAACGGCTAGACCGATTTTGATAATATTTTACTACAAGGTAGCTGTCTATATAAGGAGTAATTTAGCTTAAAAAATCCGGGAATCGAACCCACTAAGGCAGCACTTTTCAAATTCTACGCAAACGATGTTTCGGGCACCAGCTAGTCCTTTAAATATATAACTTTAAAGATATAACGAATTATATCGCTTTAAGCTAAGAAGTAGTTTGACTTAACCAACGAAATAACTAAAAGTGGTTATTTCGTTGCGTTGTATGCCGTGGAAGTGGGTGCGAGGGGTATAAGAGCTAAATCCCTCTACAACCTGTTTAATGACCTTGAATTGCTCAGTAAGCTTTTACCTTGAACAAATATCCAAAGCGGCATTGCTAGGCTCGTACCAAATTTGGTTTGATATAGGGGGTTACCCAGCAGACAGGGATGAAAGGCATATAGTAAAAAATGAGCTAGTATGAATATTTTTTATTTACCATAATTTTAAAATGAATTATACAGAGTTGGTTTTTATACATTACATTCACATGTACATGTTATTTACAGAGAACATTATTTACTTTGAAAAAGTTATGTGTCTAGTTATTAATTTTAATTTTTTTTACACAATTACGATTCTATTAACGGTTAAAATATCATTGCTTGTTTTGAGTTTATTTTTCTTTAGGAGTCTTCCACTCCTCGCCACTGCGGTGACTGGAGAAGACTGAGAATGAACCTTAGATGCTGGTAAAGGAGGAGCCACAGTTGGTTGGCTGCTTGAGCCCGCAGTATTCCAATCTACAACAAAATATTGCAACATTTATTACTTATATAATAACGAATATAATATTTTCAGACATCTGACACACAACACTACCTAGTTTCAAACTAAGCAGAACTTGTACTATGAAACCTAGATTGACTGATATGAGACATTCGTAGTCCCTGGTATGTTTATCTGTAAGATTGCTGTGGTGGTGTTCAAGTAACATTTATAAAGTGACAGATGTTATCTATATTTACAATTGAAACTTTATTTTAATGTCAAGTAGCAGTGTAAGTCTCATAACAACGAGAAATTGAACTATAAATATGAAATTTATCATATTCTCAAACATCACATCGTTATTTTACATTACAGTACATTGAGTATTGCAAATAGTAAATTGAATAAACTCACCTTTCAAGAAATTACACCATAGCCACGTATTGTAAATGGCTTGTTGGCACTGACTTTTTTGATGTTGGGATTTTTGGCGCAGAAGATGATGAAACACGTCTTCGTCTGTGCTGTTCAACAGTTAGATTTATTGTGGCACGACTTACTGTGGTTTATTTTAAAGAAATCTTTATCAGTTTCTTTTCACATAAGACTCAACGGTCTAGTGGTATAGGACTTAGCTATTATTGGAAGCTTAGATTTTTGTCACAATCGACAGTCAACACGACGTAATAATACAATTAATATTTTCTATAAAATGCTTCTTAAAGTTTCAAGGTTTACAAATAATCTTAAACTTGGTGATGAATTTACAATAAAAATAATAAACAATTTATTGACATAGCGTCGTATCTATGTCAATAAATTTTCAAGTGGAGACGTGTTATTCAGAAACTGAAAAAAATGTCATAATAATTATTTTAATTCTTCAAAATATACTACATTTTAAAATCTTCTATACCTCATTTAAGATTTATTATGTGTTTATATAAGTATATTTTGTTTTAATTATCAATAAATAGGTAGTTTAACCGAAAGTAATAAAAAGTTCACTATTTCATTATGTTTTCGAACGCATAGTTCATTCAATAAGATGTTAAATTCGTTCTTAAGTGCACATCCTTATTTACGTTAGGATGACGTCACTAACGTAATCGTATCGAGCTCTCGATACCTTAACGTTAGTGCTTCGTGCTACCGCCTATCGTAAAACTCCGTTAACGTATCGAAGACTCGATACGTTTACGATACGCATTCGCAAATTTTTCGTGCTCGGGGCACAGTACTAACATTTAAGTATAAATAAATAATACGTAGGGTTTATGGTATTTTTATTAAAATTCAGCTTCTTCGTTTCCCTAATTTATGTCACCAAATTTTCATCACGATAGCAAGGGACTAAAATTTGAATGTACAAAATCTAATAATTGTCAATACTAAAATTAAGTTAAAAAACTAGTATTTTTCAAGTTTCATGAAAAGAAGATAAAAAAATTAGAGAAATAATTTAAAAAAGGTTAATATTTTTTGTGAAAATATGTGTTTGTGTGTAAATTGATAAATTAAATTTTAAAAGTAATAGTTATTTTACGAATCCATAACTTTTGTATTTGATAAAATTTATATATTAACTTACTTCTTGTACCCAAACTCCGTCTTTTAATTATTACTTTTCATATTCCGACTCCGCGTGAAAAATTGTAACAATGTTCGACATGCTTAGTCTGTTTAGACAGTCTCCTGACTGTTTAGATAGACTTTGATGTTCATATAAATATATTATGTTTATTTACTATATTTTAATAGCAAAGCAAAAACAAACAAGTGCACAAATGAAAAAAATATTGAAGTAGCAAAAGGAAAGACAGCGTTGGAAAAGAGAAAAATAAAAAATGATCCTGCACTTTTCGAGGCATATAAAGAAAAAAATCGTCAAATATACTAAACGAAAAGAAGAGTCCCCTATGCGTAGAAAAAAACTGAGAAAACATACTGTAAAGCTTTATACAGATGTCAGAAACCGAAAAAGACTTGGCAACGGCAGAGGAAGTCAGTTTCTGCCAAGAACAACTGAATTGAAACCCAAATTTGGCCAAAAACCATGTAATCGATCCTCTAGCCTAGCTGCGATAAAATGATTTTTCTTTTTGAAATTATAGAAAATTATTCTCTACTTTTTATTCAGCTAGTTACAAAAGCGTGTTTTTAAGTTTTTATTAATTATAATTTATACTTGGCATAGCGAGCATACAGTTAAGTGTCCAACTAGAGAATTTGGACGGTTATAATTTATAAATCTCTTATGTAGGAAAAATAAGTTTAAATGAAATTACGAGTGCTTTCATATAACTGTATTATAAAAGGAGATAATTTAATATTAACTGAATAGATTTAGATATGTTAATGTTAACAATATGATACAAAATAGTAGTTGTTATAAATAATTTAAGTAACACGAATATCACATTGCAAGGTATAAATATTTTGGTCATAAGTTGTGTTACAATTCTAACTTACTAATCTCTATGTTACGTATGTTACAGTAGATGGAAGAAATTAGAATTGCAGTATTTTTTGCACAATGTAGAAATGAGGCGGCATCACTTGTATTGGATGCCAAATTTCTAAATTTTACAGATGATCATTCTGAACATTTCAAAAAAGTATGGACTACCTTACAAGACATGGGATCTGACCTCTTGACACAAAAATCTCTTGAAAATAATGATCCAGCTTTCATAGGACTAAGAAGAGATTTGTAATCGTGCAGAGGAAGATTTAAGATAAAAATCAAACGCATCCTTCACATATAATTAGCAAAATTGAATGTTATTAGTAGATTGTAAAAACAATTCTCAAGTTTTATTATAATTCCGCTTAAGTGTATTCTTCCTTTACAAATATAATTAAAATGTGTAACAGAACTTTTGACCATCAAAGAGTAAAGATAAGTAAATAGTCTCATTACATGAAGTTATTTTAAGGTAAGTACCATGAATATATATCATAATGGCGTTATATAATTTCCTAAAACATTAGGCAGTTGACGTTACGTTAAGAAAATGTATCTATAAACAATTTAACATAATATCTTATTTTTTGTAGACTTTCAATAAGAATTTATATAATTTTTCAAGTAAATTTGTAGTTAGTTCAAAAATAGTCAAAGAAATTACAGAGTTATTCTTATGGGCATACCAATCTAGCCAAATTGTGTGGTGTACAAGATTTTAGACCTGAAGAAGTAATCACCATTCCCCGCGATGGAGGTATTATATCCCTGCCGCTCACGCGCAGTCGATGGACACAACCCACGAAACCATAAATTCCTGACGCTCCAGACAATCTATATGAATATTTAAATGAATATTATTTATACACATACGGGATTATCATAAAAAGTGTATGACAAATACTTACTTTGTAACATTCTCCGGTGGATGACCCACATAGATGTAGGGATCGACATTCAGTGAATTCATGCGTCCCTGTGACGAACCTCGTGCCATTGATGATCCAAGCTTTAACATTGCGTCCTTCTTATACCTTCTGGCTGATACTTTGGATTTACCATCAAGTTTAGCCTTGCCAGTATGTAGTTCTGTGGGCCCACTACCTGCATCCCAACGCAATACAGCTCTGTGGTCGACAAAACCAAGCCACATGTGGTCCCTGGTCCCGGCAGCACTTACTAAGGCGCCTTCGCCGCACACAGCAGACACCTCTGCCCAAATATCGAAGCGTTTAGCTGGAACTCTAGCACGTGCCGTTATTCCCGCTTGGCCGTCGAACAGTGGTACCTCATAAGGCCCACTACTAGTTTCTTCTACGTATTCCTCGTACATTGAATAATCTTCTACTTCAGTTGAATCAAACTCTTCTTCTATCTCTTCAATCAATTTATGACTTCTAGATTTATTAAACTTGAGACAATTCCTCTGATAGGCATTTTTGCTACTAGAATGAGTGTAGACTTTTTCTGTGAAGTATCATTTAGTATTAAATCTAAATGCTACAAAATCAATATTATACTAAAGTAAATTCTACGGTTCTAGTTGTCAACTCTAGCGATATCCGACTGGTGGGAGAATATCGATGCACGTCAGCTCGGGTTCAGGACTATCAGGTTTGCCACTATCACTCGTGTCTACAGAAGCGTCGGTGAACTGCAGTGAGTTTGAGCTTTGGTGCTTGATATGTTCAAAATCTTTGAGTAACGTTTTGTCTGAATCGAATGCGGTATTTTGGTGAAGGTTAGGAATTTTCGGGGACGAGCGACTAGATCTACCAGAGCGGCTACCTCGGCGTACGTGTGGGACTTCTTCACTGCATGGTCCAAACGCTTGTACAACCACGTCTGACTGAGTTCTGCAAGCGTGAGTGCGAAGGTGACAAGCAGAGAGATAAGTACGACCGTCACTACCGCACACTGATGGTTCATCAATCGGAGAACACTCTGTCGTGGCACATTCACAGGTTGCCAGTCCGCTGCGAATGACGCAGTGAGCTCCGAAGTAGCAAGTCATGTGTTCGCAGTTAGTCGCTGGTAATTGAGTTGATTCCGCTAGTGGCAAAAACAAAGTTAGGATCATTGACTGAACTTCATATCATACAATTTTTATTTATTTGTATTAAACGTTTCATACTCACGGTCGAAGCATCCGTTAGGTCCAAGGGTATGTTCGTGGTTGGAGCACACGGTGCACTTCTGGCCTTGTATGCCTGGCTTGCACACACAACGTCCTGTCATCTGCTCACAATCTTCTCGGACCGAACCAAACGCTGAGCAACCGCATGCTAGAAATCAATATACAAAATAATGAGTATTTTTCACAGAAGAATTGAATTATCTTTAGAAAAATAAATGGCCGCAGATACTTTGCAATAGGTTTTCCCAGAATCAATTATCTTTAAATCTGTGCACAAATAGCGGATTCTGAAGTGTGTTAACAGACCTTTACTTTAGAGATCTATTCTTTTGTTTTTACTCTCTATTTTCTTTTATTTTTGTTCACGCACCCACCGCATGAATCGTGCCCCTCGCAGGAAGGCGCGCGGAGGGGCGGTGTGACCGACGGCGACGGTCGCGAGCTGTCACTAACTCACTCCACTACCGAACGACGAGCGACGCGCGTGCTTAAGTTAACCAACATTGTACTGCCTTCATTTTTATTATATTCTTATACAGTCCACCTATATCTTTTCTTTAACCAAAGAAGAAGCCTAAACAATTTTATTTTAATTATTTCGTTCAAGTCCGTATATTCTTCCGAGAAAGCTGCGTTTGCCGCTTGATATTGTGCACTTAACAATAAAACACTTTGTTTTGGTTGTAAGAAAAAGTGTAAAGTAGGTGACCCAAAACATATATAATGTGTGACTTTTAATCTATTTACTAACAACTTATAATAATACCTACTTTATTTAAAATCTACAACCATAACAGTCGAGTCACTTACGTATACAGCCAGTGTGTCCAATCCCGATTCTCGGCAGGCCCCAGTAACCAGGCTCGCATCGATCACACTTCAGTCCTCCCACCCCGGGCCGGCACGTACATTGCCCGGATTCATCACATTGCTCAGTCACGGAGCCTAATCGGTGACAACCGCACACAGCCGGACAACCTGCTCCACCAGGGCCTCTGGCAGGAGTGACACCGTCGGCGCAACAACCATGCCAAGACTCCTGGCAGCCTTTCTTCTCGATTACTGCTTTGTCTGGTATAGTAAACAGGTTGTGTTAATATTTACTTGTTGTCATGCAATTTAATATTTCCTGTCATTTAAAACTCATTCTAGGAAAATACTAAACCGCAGCTATACAATCAGCGTAAAGACAATTCTCACTGGTACCATAACATTTCTCTTAACACATAAAATAAGAAGGTAGAAATTGTTGATCTGTCTGTGTCATATAAATTAACTCTAGAGACTTTTGATAGAAAGGAAAAAAAAAACAAAGAGTAGCTGCCTAGTCAAAGCAAAAGTTAATCCTTTATCTCTAAGTATAGACTCTCTACTGTAAGTATTTTTTTCGCCGAGACCTTTAATAAAGCGAATTTAAACATACATACGTAGGCTCAGTATATTTTTAGTTATTGTTTACATTTCATACTTTCTGTACCGCCTTCGATTTTCACTGCTGTTTGAACAAACGAGTACTGATTTAATTATGAGCGCATATATTAGTTTTGCGTGTTTACCGTCTTTCTATTTGCGGTGAAGTAACTGTATGCTTGTTAGCTAATTGCTGTTGTACAATTTCATAACAATGCATGCATGGGAAAGTTCAAATTACATACATATGTTAATGGTCAATTATGTGTATGTTCCTATGACATCGTTTCTCAACATTTGACTTACTCTTCCAGATACTTTTTTAATATGTTTAAAAAAAGAACACTTTACGCAAAGTAAAATCAAAAATTGACAATAGCATCCTTTAATTTTTAAAAAGACACTTATTCACGGTTGCGAATTATGGAAGAACAATTTTTTTATTCTAATTAGTTAATACTCGTATTCATGCCCACTAAATATTTTAATGTGAGTAAGACCACTTTTCACGGCGGATCATTGATAATGTGTTTTGTTGATTCAACATAAATAAATCGTGTAAGTGTACGTAAGGTAATAATAATATACCGGTGTATGTCGGTTATCACGGTGAAAAGTAGCCTATGTCCTTCATCAAGAATCAAACTATCTCTATACCAAATTTCATCTGAATTAGTTTAGCGGTTATAGATTCCCCATGAACATTTCCACACCCCTTTTCACCTACTTAAAAGACGATTTCTGGAATAAAAATATCTATCTATCTATCCTATGTCCTTTCCCGGGACTCAAACTATCTCCATACAAAATTTCATCTAGAACGGTTCAGCGGTTAAAGCGTGAAGATATAACAGACATACAGACAACAGACAGACTGACAGACACACTTTCGCATTCATAATATTAGTATGGATCTCGTAGGTTTGTGAGTATAATGGATAGAAAAAAGCTGCCTTAACTACGTACCATTTCAGACCATAGCATTTAATACTAATAAAAAAATATTTATTAAACATCCTAACCTTTCCTACAGCATCGAGCAGCCTTAGCGGTATGATGACAGTAGCTACCAGTCGGACAGTCTTTTCGGTGTGGACCACCTCCACAGTCTATAGGCCTGCCTCCGTTGTCCGTCAACGGCTCGTCGTCTCCGCACGGTCGAAACTAACAAAAGAAATAAATTTTATGGGTTACTTAACAGCAGAAAAGTATATACAAAGTCTATCAAATTCGTATTCTAATTTCGCCTTAATACGAGCTTTTCCCCAGGTTGGAGGTACCTTATAGTTATAAGTAACCCGCTGGACTATTAATTAAACAGTTGTACACTTACCAAATAATGGCGGCCGAGAGGCCTACCTACGTCGTCCAGCAGTGGACTTGATTTCGCAAGTTTCACTTACCTCTAGACCTCTACACAATGCGAGCGGTCTCAGTCTCAGATCTTCTTGCCTGCGACAGGCTTCCAACTTCATATGGCACAACGTGGGATAAAGCCTCAAATCGGACGCGCAAACTGGAGTTGATGACGCAGCAGCCGCTGCTGCTGCAGCGCAGTCGAAGAGGCAAGCACACCTAAGGATAAGTTACAATTACTTGCTTTTATTTTATTGATTTTAAATGTGTAACATTTTAAAGTTGAACCGTTGAAGTTGCATGTTTCAAATATTTTTCTATAAAATTACTATTCTTGCACCTTACAACTTTATAACAACCTTGTTGAAAGTAGAAAAATAAATGTTTCCAGGTCATGACGTGATGTTTTAAAATTTATATTTCACATTTATGTTTTGTGTTTTGTTTGTTTCATTTTTTGTAAGTACCTAAATGTATTTTTCTTATAGATTACCCTAAAACTCGACAAAAGCTGCTTTTATAAATAATCATTGGATAAGTCAGTCTGATAAACTTAACTTTACAGTTCCAAAAATACTTAATCATTTTCAAAGGACTGCTGGCTGGCAGTTCTTGTTCTACAAGATAATAATAAGTATACTAACCTCGGCTGTCCGTTAGAATCAACGGCGCACGTGGCTTCATAGGCGCACTGCACACGGGCGCACACTGCGGTGCCTGCCACGGTCTCGCTTGCGTTCTCAGCGTTGTCATCCCCCGAGCGAACCTCGTTACTCAAATCAGTCAGTTGAGCTGATTTGTTCACATCTGAAAGAGTACAAATTTATTTAAATAATCGTATCTAAATGTATGTAAATGTTAAGTTGGTTTGGGTACGCTTCGAAAACTTAAAAATTCTGTGCCGATTGAGGTTAAACTTTGAGACGATATGCAAACCGCTTTGAGGATTGTTTTTATCTACTTTCGGCGTTAATTTTGTTCCTCGTTTTTATTAATGCAATTTCAATATCCCACAGCGAAACGTATTGTTTATATATTTTACTAGCCCTACCCTCATGGTAGGGCTAGTAAAATATATAAACAATATCATAAAATTATTTTATAACTTTTAGTTTCAACCGGTTTTAAGCAATCTTTCCTGTATATTATCCGACTTGATTTTAATGGAACTCCTCTTTTCGATTACTAACATTGTCCTGATCGACTTTTTGCGTGGAATTCTAATTCTTTATCAAAAATAATATTAATCTAAATTATTCTTCATTTTTTTCGGACAGCAAAACGCCCGTATAAATCGGTTCACCGGCCAAAACAGACAGACAAATTCGTTCTCGTAAAAGCCGTGTATTTTATTTTCATTTTATTAATCGAATTTCGTGTAATTAAAAACCTGTGGTATTATCGTCGTCGTTGGTGCAGTCCCCGTAGTAGGCGAGTGCCGGGGGCGGATCGCCGCGCGCTCGCGCCTCGCAGGCGGCGCGGCGCAGCGCGCAGTGGCTGGGGAAGGTGCGCCGGCCCTCGGCGCACACCGGCGCGCGCGCGCCCTCCGCGCACGCCGCCGAGCAGCCGCACGCGCCCCGAGCGCACCACGTGCCCGCCTCGCACACCACGCGTGCGCACGATTCTGTTCACCACAAACGTAACGATATAGACCCTTATTGAGACCGAGCCTAGTTAGCAAGCCGGTAAGGTTTGGCTATGTTTTTTCCTTTAAATCAACATCACTCCATCTTGTATTTTTTATACGTAGGTACTTACCAGGTGGGCTAGGTAGATACCTCAAGACACATACCACACGATCCCATATGCTTGATATGCAGCCTCCTCTTCTCCTTGCAAGCGGTGTCTCGTAAAGAACATACGCTGCTATAAGTCTTATTGTCTGCACCGCAAACTTCTTCTGTCTCCTGTTGGAAGTAAAATAGCTATAAACTAAACTGTTATAAAATACAGCAGATTTCTTTAATTTTTATGGTATGAGGATCAAAAACTGCACGGATGGCATAGCGGTTTAAGCGGTCACCTCACCGCTTTCGACAACGCTGAGTGTTATGGGTTCGATCCCCACATTGGAAAACACGTTGTGTAATCCACAAATTGGTGTTCTGAGTTTGGGTGTTCCTTGTTTGCGTTTAATGTATGTTTGTAAAGTTCCCCTCGACACAGGATATATTCCTAGAACGGGAGCATACGGTTCACCTGATCATTGAGAAATAAGAATAAAGCAAGCTGTCTCCAGCTAGCCCTGTACTCTGCAGTGATGCCAGGTGTAAAGGAGAAAGCTGCCGAGAAGCCCCGTTCATGTTATTTTTTTCTAATCAGGCGAGCATGCGCAGTGCAGTACTCTTTATGGGTTGGAGAGACAGCAAGAACCTCTTGGCAGCTTTCTCTCTCGCACCTGGCATCACGCTTACGGCTTTGCTTGCTTTATTCTTATATCTCTATGAACCTGACGTAGTAAGCGACCTGCCGCTAATGGGTACCTCCAATAAAGAGACACACGTGCCGCCTCTGCATGCTAACATTTCAACGAGTGAGTGAGGTTACCAGAGAGCCAAGGGACCCAACTCCTCTCTAGAGACAGGAGTTGGGTCTCTTGGCTCAGTTGAAATGCTACGAAAAAATTGCTTAACAGAAGTTTTCTGTGACGGCGTACTCACACCTTTCGAGCCGGCCAATATACGAGTATGCCAAAGCATCACTCTCCCACGGTTACTTGTTTTTGGACAGGAAGATGTTATGCCCCTTCTGTATTAAGACACTATAATAATATTTGCATTTATCAATTTAAATTTTTCCATGATAAATCATAACTCTATGGGCTCATTTAAAAAACCTAAAAGTTTACTAACCGTGCCTTCCTCACAGTGTTTGGGGCAGACGCAGCTGGCTTCAGAAATGCCGTCGCTTTCGCAAACTGCGTAGAATTCGCACTTTTTGTTCTCACACCCGTCTGTAAAGCCATTTAATATTAACATTATATTTTACTAAATCGTGAGACATGAACGTGACTATAGCCGTGGGTGACGTGATGTGGTACAGATGTCGTTCGTCGAAAAACAACACAACGAGGCTCCATAAGCAATGAATCTGTCCATTACAGTATCGATATCACATACAAATTATATCAGAAATATATCAATATCACCTCTTTATAAAGAAAGCGTACAGGTATATACTTTTCTTTAAAGAAAATTCGTGCAGTCCTATCCATTCAAATGGATAGTGAAAGAGAATCTCTCTCTCTCGCTCTTAAGGTATACTTACTACAAGGTCCGTCGTACAACACTTGTACGTCTCTTCTATGCCGGCAGGCTTCTAACTGCAGTTTACATCTGTTGCCGTAAGATATACCATCGGAGCCACATACGGGTGCGAACTCGTTAGAACACCTTGGACAGCGGCAGATGCCGCGAGCGCCTGTGGCAACACACTCTCCGCCGTGAGGACATACACGGTCGGCGCACACGCCGTTTGAACCTACAACAGTCATTTGGTCACGTTACAATTAAATAATAACCTGTAAAAACGATATTTAATAAGAGATGAGAAACTCTGTTAACGAGAAGTATGCATGCGTAAATACTACACATTACTTTGAACTGCTCGAAGTTTCGACCAGAATGCACTGATTGTGGTCACAGTTATTGGATAACGCTTCACTCGTGCAAATATTTGCAAAACAATTTAGGTATCTCTCCGCAACAGAACTTTTTTCTGAATGAAAAATACTAATGAGTCATTTTCCGTTAGTTAATAATTAGGTATAATAACATTATGCTTAATTTTATTATAATTGCTTGAATACTTAGTTAAAGTGAGACAGGGTACTAAAATACCTTTACAATCTCACTTTAGCGAACATTTAACACTGTATCAAAAAAGCACGTACACACAGGATATTCTGGATGTTTTATTTTTGATTAGCATACTTTGATTTTTTGTTAATGACCATAAAACCAAAACGGGGATGAAAAAGAAGTGTCAACAATTGTTCTATATTATCGTATAATGAATATTGCTTAAATTAACGTAAGAATAAAATAGTCGGTAAAGTTATTCATAGAAGGCAGTAAGTATTATTACCACAGGCTCCAGCATGCAGTACTCTCAGTTCCCGTCCTAACAGACAGGCAGCGCGTCGTAGTTCACACTCGCTATCATGTGTCCTCGAGTCGGAGCCACAAACCGGCCTCAGCACGGGCTCACAGACAGGTGGACAAGCACATACGGCGCCTCCGCCCTCGACCCGACATTCAGCCCCATGACGACATTCCACTTCCGCACACGGATTTACACCTTCAAACCATAATATCCTCCTACAATTACTGAATTGGAAAAAAACTTAAAAACCCTATCGTTAAGAGAACTCCTTTTAGGTAAATGAACTCTTTAGGCTGGGCGGTCCGCTGAACAGATAAAAAGTATTCAAAATGCTAATATTTAAGGGTCTAAGGTTGATAAAATACCTTAAAATAATTTTAAGTACTTTTGTATTTAAAACAAAATTGACAAGACAATTTAAATCAATTTAAATTGAATTGGCAAGGAATACGCCAAAAATAATTACATCACACGGGATTGTTATTACCTTATTATTTGCTATTATGTGATTGTAAAATGCACTATAACAAGTTTTGAAAATCTGTAGAAAATTGAGCTGTATGACTAGTACATCTAGTCATATAGCTCAATTTCCTACAGATGTTTTAACTAATGGGCATACATACCAGGTATTATTGGCATTATTTGATGTTAGAGTAAGTACCTTCCAAATAAATAAATTAATAAATATTCAGATGATTTTTATTTTAAGCTAAAACTCACCGGAACTACACTGTCCTTTAAACACAATCTTAAGTTGCTTTCTGGCACGACAAGACTCTCGATGCATCTGACACTCGTTTGAATAGGTCTTTCCGTCGGAGGCGCAAACAGGAGAAAACTCGAGGGAACACGGCTCAGCACAGCGACACGATGGAGCACGATGGTCGTCTAGCTGACACACTTCAGGGTCTGGGCAGGCTATTCCAGCGCACGGATCTAGAATCGCAGTGGCATACACCGTCACTGTGTTGTTTTGTTGTACGAGCCCCGATGCAAAATAGTTCATCTAGTATGGAAAGTAGTGCAAAGCGTAAAATATAGAACGTTTACTAAAAATAAACCACAAGTTCAGGAACATTTTAAAGTTTATTTTAACATAACTGAAATTCTTTCATGACTTTACATAACATTTTTTTTATAAAATATTCTAAAAAACATAACGCAAAAGTATTCGTCTACCCTTGTCACTCACGCAAAATAATACGTCTACCACTTATTTGTGTCGCCTTTGCTCTCAATGACAGCTTTACAAAGTTTTTTTGCGTAAACTTGGAGAAAATATTTTTCCGAAGTTTTTTGCGTAAAACTTGTAAAAAATAAAATCTGTTAAGTACCAGAGCGTGCAGGATAATCGCCGGACTTCGACCGCGATGAAGTTAGCAATGTGGGTGCGGGTGCGGTGTAAAATCCGTAACCCATTCTTTTTAGGACTCTTTTGCAAGTATCAACTGAGATGTCTTTGTGAATCATGTCCTTCCATTGCACCGTGAGTTCTCCAGCTCGAGCACGACGATTATTTTTGATAATTTTCTTTAGGATTCTGTTTTCTACTGCACTTGTGATGCGTGGTCGACCAGTTTTCTTCATTCTATTCTTTTTATAGTGCTGAATGATTGGACTGTACACCTGGGAAGTATCAAGTCTTTAGATATTTTGTAACTTGATTGGCCAGCATCGACCCCACAAACTATTCGCTTACGAAGCTCTTCACACACGGGTTTGCCACGACCCATTGTAATTTAAAAACTAATGAAAAAGACTGAAATTTTCAGAATTTATACTGTGTCACTTAACAAATGACACAGAATTACTTTTACAAATTTAAATTATGCAACATTATTGTACAAAGAAGGAATAATCTTATTGAACTCACCGATAGACGAACTCTTTTGCATCAATTAACAATTAGACGAACTATTTTGCTTATAACTTATTCGAATTTAAAACAGGATATGTATAATTTAAAAAGCTAAAATAGTTTATTAGTTCATAATTAAAAAATTGCATAAGTAACGCGGCATATGATAGTAGAACAGCTTAATATTTTATGTAGATATACAAAAATAATGAAGTTAGAAAAAATCTCACAGAGAAAATTTCACACTAGACGAACTATTTTGCATCAGGGCTCGTAAAAGCAAGAAGTTAATATAAGTATGAAATGTAGAAAATACACGTTTATTTTACACCCATTAGTAGATACTACTGTTTTTTTTTTTTGAATATTTAATGATACTCATCTCTAAGCCGACAGCTTACTATAATTATTATTAATATAGAGCCCTGGCTTTAAAAGGTTAGTAAATAATAATTAATAAAAAGGACCTACAAACCTTTTTGGCATTTTTATATAAATAGGAATCGCTTAAATATAAATATCCACTGGTGTTCCGCTTTTGAGTGTTTAGATGCGTTCCTGGGAAAGTGCGCAGTATGCTATCGAGGTACTCTTCAATCCTTGTAAAGATTTGGGTAACAAAACATATTCACGTTTTACGAAGCTTAGTGTACCTACGAAGCTTCGTGGTATCAAAGCCGATGTTGTATAAAGAAGCAGTTGGTTTGGGTCTGGTCATTTCTTTGCTTCTTTTACTTAAACTATAGTATTTACTCCCAGAATATAATATTAATTAAGTACACATATAATCCTTACGTAGAAGTAGGTACAATAAGTAAATGTCCTTGGAATAGGTATACATTATTTTTCATAGTACGTATTGACGTACAAACATATGTATATATGTATTGGCAAAGGCAACCAGCATCAAAGCTGACTGATTGTGACTGATTTCTACTCAAAATTCATATAGATCTACAATTAGTTTCATTAAAATTAATGATTTAGTTTAGTGTTATTACCCACACACCGTAAAGATACTTACCACATTTACCATAATACTTGAAAGTGATGTTAGTGTTAGATTCGCAAGCAGCTCTACGCATCTCACATTCTCCAGGGTAGTCGCGAGCGTCACTAGCGCATAGTGGCCGGGAACCCTCGTGATCCCCGTAGCTTGGGCAAGAAGTCGGGCACTTGCAATTGTAGGATCGGCCATCGGGACTTGGTTGACATAACGCCCCAGGGCCGCAAGTTACACCCCGGCACGGATCCGGTACGTCTAGAAAAAAAAACGATGTACGAAAAACGACAAAAGCTGTAGATATACGAGTAATAAGGTTACGATATTATGGCTTATACTTAAAAATAATTGATATAGTTAGTTTATGAGCGACGATATAATATTTTTTTATAAAAAGAAATGTAAAATCATGTGCCTGTATTTTTATAGGATTTGTCTTTAAGTAATCCCTTTACTAAAATAGAGTCCCTTTATTACTGTTGATTTAAATATTTTAAATAGTAAAATAATGCTTACCACTAGGGAACAGGTAACAGCAATCAGTAGCCGCCACCAACGCGATCAGCAGCGGTAGCACGCTCACCATTGTCTGGCTGGCTCGCCACTCTTCGCACCATCACACAGTATCCTACCACCCTATAACTCTACCAAAATCAATTATCGTTTCACACGTCTAAGTAAATTTACGTACCAACAAAAATACGATCAATAACAATACCTTTTGCTTATATTTTCAAGCAAACTTAATTAAGTAAAACCTGATCGTTACAAATGTACTTTTAACCGAAGTGTATAAAAAATAACTCACCTAATATTTTTAATTCTCCAAAGAAACTTGTATTTATTAAGTATTAGAAGTATTTGTTGATTTATTTATCGATAAACGGAATAAATACAAGTATTTATAATTTTTAACAACAAGCGTTCTTTGCACCCCTGCCGTTGTGGGGCTACTGAAGCTGAGTTAAGAAGCCCTTATCTGAATGGACGTTTTGATCATGCGCACAAGTGACTTTCTAGAGAACTATATCAGAACTATACGAGATAAACATTTACATATTGATAAATAAACCTTGTCTTTGAACACACTTTGAGAAAATCAAAACAAATGTGAGTATGTGAGTGAGTCTGAAAAAGAAAGAAGAAGTGACGTAATTGTTATTGTACGAGCTTTATTCGTGCTTTTTCACTACCGATAACCCCGACAAAAAAAACTACTTCACTGTAAAAAATTGATATTTTTATAACTGTATTTACTTAAACCTAGTAAGTGCAAGGGTAACACATTAGTATGATCGTGCCGTATCTTCTATTGGCTTCTTACTATTGGTTCACTATACTATTCCGCTTCTGAATCTCGTGAAGAAAAATAAATAATTTGGATTTATCTCACGAGATTGTCCATATGTGGAATGTGGATTCGGCGATCGTTATTCCGATAGTCGTATCTGCTCACGGATTGATAGCCAAGAGCCTTTACCAACACCTTAAGAGGGTCACGTTAGACGGCTGGATCAAGGGTCTGATGCAAAAGGCAGTTCTCCTTAACACGGCCCGTATAGTGAGGAGGTTCCTGTCTTTGGAGTCCTAACCACCGGTGTCTTCATCCCTGTACCCGGTGGTCTACTATTTTTTATATTTTTAAATGTATATTTTTTTCGTGTGTAATATATTTAAAAATGTAATCAATATGTATATATATTGTAATAAAGAGAATAATAATATACCTTACACATCTTACATACAGTCTGATCCCAAACTAGTCAGAGCGTGTGCGTTACCCCAGCAAAATAATGTCGAAAATGGTCATTTAAACGTTATAGATAATTAGTTGCCCCCTTCTGTAATTGTTAGGCACATTTTTAAATTTGTTTCACTTAATTTTTTTTTGTTATTTCAAAAAACATTTCCTGCTGGGGTAACGTTTGAAACGTTACCGCAGCCAGACATTTTCTTTTTTAATTAGAATATTGAAATAAATATTAGCTAAATAATTAGGTATGTGGACGAGGTAAATGTTGCAACTTATTTGGTATTTGTATTTTCCTCGGCTGCGAAGTTATTCGAGATCCTGCTGGAGTAACGTTTGTGGGTTTGCTGGATCTCTGAAACGGGTAAGCGGATTGTAACCATCTTTTGTACATAACTTCTTAAGGATTAGTTTTAATTTGTTTAACAATAAAAAAAAAAAACAAAAATAATGAACCGTTTAAAAATTATTTAAGTATGAAAACACTTCAATACGCCCTAACACTTTGAAAAAGACCTCTAAAGACTTACTTTCAAAGTTATTCTGTTGCTTGTAACTGCCATCAAATGTATACGAATTTTCGTAAGTATACTGTAAGTGACTAAAAAGTTATGATGAAATGTAGCTCTCCACGTTCACGATCACAATGTGTGCGGCCTTTTTTGGCCACCGATAAACCTGTGTGTGGATATATAAACTGAATGTTATGCCAACAATTAGTTGTTTAGTTCAGTCGTCTACCTGTAAAATTTCAGCGTCGTACATATAATAACTTACGAGATAGTTAAATAAAAGTCATTAGAAGATGCAAGACCGTGGTAACCCGACCATGTTTAAGTGGTTACAAAAAAGCGATCACTCAGTACATTGTGCTGGCTTTTAAAATATGTATGATTTTATTTGCAAGTTCACTACGGATATGTACATAAGTGTTACAAAAAACTACATGTTACTTAAATAATTTATTATTTAGGATTGTTTATTGCATAATTAGTAATTAGCCGGGAGATTAGGTATTGTTTTGAATGCTTTTGTTTTCTCGTAATGTTTTGTTAAATTGTTTATTGTTGTTCATGGAATTGGTACCTGTGTAGTATTTGTTAATTGAAGTTTAATTTCAGGGTAGGTATAGGTAATTTAAGTTTTGAAGAGTGTAACGTATGCGTTGTAAATAGGTATTTTGTGAATAGATTGGGATTTTTTTAAGTGATGAAACGAATAAGGCTAGCATATCGTGAACAAACTCTGTATTGCATTATTTCTGTAATAATGTTGGAGAATATAAAATAGCAGACAATTTTTGATCACAAAATCGCGGTGAGTTAAATTATGAGAAAATAAATTATATTTGTAAAATTGTAATAAGTGATATACCTACCTACAAGTTATGATCGTTTTTAATTTGTTCACCTCGAACGAAATTTCAATATTAGCATTAGTAATTAACATGCTAAGACAAGAATTCGCACTTAATTAAATTAAATCTCATTAGCATTAATGCCCATTACTAGTAATTAGGTACACACATATTGAAGAACTCTTAAGAATACGATAAATATTTGCAAAAAAAGAAAACGGAAGCGCACACGCGTCAAGACGACAAGGGTCAAATTTAGTGCACCAGATGCAAATTGCAAACAATGAAGTACCCCTTCGCCCCTCCACACCCGCGTTCTAGCTAAGGATGATGATGACAAATATTATCTGACCAATAAATTTATCTATAAAAATGTATCACCTTCACTTGATAAATTAAATTACCGTTATCATAACAAAATATCATTTAACAAATGTTCGTTTTCATCAGAAATCAACAGTCACGGGCTCAACACTTAGCGGTAGGTACATAGGTATAGATAATTCTCGGTTCTCGGTATAGACCACAGAACAATATTACTCTTACGAGGTATACGACTCTTGGGCGATGCAATGTTGATGCATTCTAATTTACAACTGTATTCTTCTACTATTATGGTATATTTTGACTTATTGTAGATTACTTGTTGATTTAAATATTTTATGCATTCAAGTCTAAGCTCCATACACCTCAAAATAAAATACAATTACTTCAGTGTTATTTATTCACAAAAAAAAAACAAAGAAATGAAACGATTTCTTATTGGTTTAAATTTTCGATTTATTGCAATCAGGTGAATCGTTCATACATGTATCTACCTACATATTTATAATTTTAGCGGGCCAGTGCAGATTTTCTGTTGATTGTAGCTCCGGTAGTTAAAAAGACTAAAGAAATTTTAAGTAAATAAGCTAGTGCTTAAGATCCATTAGGAAAAAAAACAAAATAAATAATAGGTAATAATAATTAATAAATATTGAATGTATTTAACACTGTACGCAACTGTACCGAAATCGTAACGTGTATTACACTAAACATTTTAAAAGACAGCACAATGTACTGGGTGATCGCTTTTTTGTAACCACCTAAACATGGTCGGGTTACCACGGTCTTGAACCTTCCAATGACTTTTATTTAATTATCTCGTAAATTATTATATGTACGACGCTGAAATTACAAGTAAATTAAAAACTAAAAATTACAGGTAGACAACTGAACTAAACAACTAATTATTGGCATAACATTCAGTTTATATATCCACACACAGGTTTATCGGTGGCCAAAAAAAGCTGCACACATTTTGATCGTGAACGTGGAGAGCTATATTTCATCATAACTTTTTAGTCACTTACAGTATACTTACGAAAATTCGTATACATTTGAAGGCAGTTACAAACAATAGAATGACGTTTAAAGTAAGTCTTTAGAGGTCTTATTCAAAATGTTAGGACGTATTGAAGTGTTTTCATACTTACTTAAATAATTTTTAAACGGTCCATTATTTTTGTTTTTTTATTGTTAATCAAGTTAAAAGTAATCCTTAAGAAGTTATGTACAAAAGATGGTTACAATCCGCTTATCCGTTTCAGAGATCCAGCAAACCCACAAACGTTACCCCAGCAGGATCTCGCATAACTTCGCAGCCAAAGAAAATACAAATACCAAAAAAGTTGTAACATTTACCTCGTCCAGATAACTAATTATTTAGCTAATATTTATTTTAATATTCCAATTAAAAAAGAAAATGTCTGGCTGCGGTAACGTTTCAAACGTTACCCCAGCAGGAAATGTTTTTTTGAAATAACTAAAAAAAATTAAGTGAAACAAATTAAAAAATGTGCCTAGCAATTACAGAAGGATTACGTTTAAATGACCATCTACTACATTATTTTCCTGGGGTAACGCACACAGTCAGAGCCTGTACTATGGGAATCAATAATAAGTTATAATTGTAATAATAATGATTAAATTAGTATGTATGTCTTACATCTTAAGTTTTTTTAAACTACCTGATGAAAAACATCATTTATTTAAAATAGTAAAAGGTCAACAAATTCACTGAAGATCTTGAACTTGAGATCATGTGATTAGATTTACAAGTGTGATTTAAAAATAATAGCTAGATTATTCTGATGTTAATTTTATTATGTTTAAAACTGTTAACTGTGATCGTCGTAACTAGAAATTTTTCAAAATCCTGATCATATAAGGCACACGAGCAGACGGTACACCTGATGGAAAGTGACGCCCATGAACAACTTTTCAAAAAGTGGCCTACTGTGGGCCAAATACCACTAATAAGTGTCAATTACCATCAAGGTGGTTAACGCCACGGGTTAGGCCAGCCATTACCCCGGTGGCGAACTCGAAGGGGTCGGACGAGAATAAACCTTCCGCCGGTGTGCGCCGACTTTATCTTCACGATTAGCTCACAACTACCCTTACTTCTCGAAATAATGATCCCAACGTACTTAATAATATTAACCATTTGTCTTGCGAAAGGTAAATGTGCCTTATATCCATGGCTGCAGCTCAAAATATCTATCTGTAGATCCAGCTAAGAAAAGACACCACCTTGGTAGAAATTGACACCTCGATGTGTTATTATGAATGGTCATGGTGAAGATAGGTCAATTAAATAAAACAGCAATTACATATCAATTTTATAATTCATTTTTAATTTTCATCATAATTCCCTGCTTGTTCTATGCACTTTCGCAGGGGTTTCCCAACTTTTTTAAGCTGCCAAAGTAAGATTTCTTCATTCGAGGTAAACTGTTTTACACTTCAACAAGCGACTGAATAGTTACATATTCATGGCTAAGTCGTAACGATTCCTGAAAGTATTCAAATGTCAAGTCACATACCAGTGGGTGGCGACTGTCAGAAGTCAGGACCACCCACTGATATGATGGTCCAAAGAGCGATATAGACCACTTTAGAAGTCTGTTGATTTACTTAAGATCGAAGATATTTGAAAGGTGGCAGTGTAGTAATTTTTTGTTATACTCGCCCACGATACAGTCTGCCATTTAATAGCTTATCGTCGTGGTCGTCGCCGTTATTTGATCCAGCTGAGGAATATTGTTGTAATCTCTTCTGTCTCTCTCTTGTAAAATTTTTCGTTTCAAATAAAAAAAAACATTCTTCAACTTTAATATGTTTATTTATTATCATGGTGTATACCATTAAGACGTTTTCCCTCTGATTACATTCACAATTGCATGTAACAGAGAATAAGACTTTACATAATGTATAAAAATAGGATTGTACGAGTCATTTCGGGACTCGGAAATGCACGCAAAATGAGAAACGAATTTACAAATTAAAACTCTTTCCTGTCCACTGCTAAAATGCAATGACAAAGTTATGTGCCCCTTCCGCTAAGCTATACACAATTCATTTGAACTTGCACATGATTTCGAATTATATGCAAACCTACTAACAATTACTAAATTTTGTACATTTACTACGACCTATTTATATCACTTGTTGTCAAGTTTTATATAATAAATCACGATAGTGAGACAACAAATAAATAGAAAATTGGATTAAGAGATTTAAGAAAATATTGAGACTGCGACAAAATTGAAACAATATAAAAATTAATGGTATTTTTCTAAATTCTGTACATTAACAATCAATCGACAGATTCGGCAATAAATAAATTTGCTATACATACAGTCTTACTTATAAAATGTCACTAGCAACGTCTCATTTTAAATCGATGCGCTTTTGCTTATCACATAGATAAAAACCACAGCACTTTTTGTCACTTACAACTTTACACTTTCACGGTTAAACCAGTGTCTTCGGGAAAGAGATGTCTATAATCTATCTATTTACAATATAAAATACAATAGATATTTACAAGGTTTGGCGACACTACGGCGTTAAGTGGGAGGCGCTCTCCGGTCGTAATCTCGTCTGTATACTTCCCGCTCGTAGTCTCGCTCATCATACGCATACTCTGGTTGCGCGTAGTTCCGCCACTCGTCAGGGTAGGCGCGCGTGGGCGGGAAGCCCATGCCGCCCGCCATCGCCGCGCTGTCGTAATATCCACTATATGCCGGCATGCCACCGAAACCACCATACCTGCTGAGAGAGTGACAGGCACGTTGGAATAGTGTTAAAAGAAATGAATTAATTCCTTATTAAAGTGATCGTTATGTATACCTCCTCTTATCGTGCGGACGCGGTGTCCGATCGCTGCGGTACTGGCGCGGGCCGGGGTAGGCCGGCGGCGTCCAGGCGGAGTGCGCGGGGTGGGCAGCGTGCGCAGGGTGCGCCGGATGCGCGGGATGCTCGGGGTGCGGGTGCGCCATGCCGTAGGGGGGCCTGGCGCGCGAGCCGCTTACCCCGCCGCTGTCTCGGCGCGTGCGCGATCGGTCCCGATCGCGATCACGCTCTCGATCCCGATCCCGTTCCCTGTCCCGATCGCGTTCCCTGTCCCGGTCGCGCTCACGCTCCGTCCGACTCCGCTCTCTGTGCATCAAATCGTCTCGCTTGAGGCTTCTATCCCTATCCTTGCGATCCTTGTGCTTGTGTTTATGTCTGCAGGGATGTAAGAAGCGACAATGGTTGTGAGCGATACAGGAGAGGTTAGCAAGTTGATGACAGAGATTAAGGGTCATTTCGAAAACAATACAATGAGGAAGCGAGCGACCGCCGTTGAAATGGATTAAATGAGGATGTTAGTAAATCAAAAAATATTATCACACAGTACTTAGCATTTTGTTACCTCTCATGTCGCTTGTTTTCATTGGGCTCTGGATCACACTCTCCTTCCTCCAATTTTCTCTTTATTCCAGATGTATGTGGTATTTTGTCATTAACCTTGTCAAATTTATCTCGCTCACCCTTAGCCCTTTTTTCTTTTTTATCATTAGCATCTTCAGGCTTTACTTCTCTTTTAAACGACTTAACATTATTACTTGCATTGTGATTATTCTTATTATTGGACTGCAACAAATAAAACTTATAAATATACATCACATACACTTATATAATATAAATGATGAAATATTGCAATTAAATTTACCTTAGAGTTTAATTTGTGTTTTCTATCTTTTTGTTTTGATGCTTCATTTTTCTTCAATCCATACTTATACAACCTATAAAGCTGTTTAGCATCAAAGTTTGTAAACTTAGAAACAAAATACCAGAGATTACTTCTCCACTCAACTTTTTTTTCAGGATCAGAATATGCATCTACACATATATCTATTTGGGTCCCTATCTGCGTGAGACAGGCACGTGTTCTTGAAACTTGCTCATTTTCAGATAATGTCTGATCTGGATTATCAAGAGCTCGTAGTGCTTTCTTCACCGGTCTCATCTTTTCTTTACACTGCAAAGAAAAAATTAAGAAAGTTACATGTTACCTAAATTTTTAATTTCATTAGTATAATGTAACCAAGACCACAAGCATACTTCTTCAAATACAGATGGATCAAGATCCCCAAGCACCTCCAATGCTCTAGGCTCATTGTTTGCAGTGAAATGCATTGGTCCTGCGGGCTTCTTGCGTGCTTTTGTTTTTTCCACTTTCCTATCTTTTCCGTCCTTCTTTGCACGTCTTTTGTCGCGGTCTCTCCTATCATTAGATGTTTCATCATGTGTAGACACCTCCTCTGACTTGAGCTTACCCTAGAAAAATATGTTAATTATTTTCACCAGTTTATTTTACAGTCTTTTAGTTTTAACAGATGCAATAAATATTATCCAACCTTATCTGATCTATCATTTTTAACAGTCTTATTAGTCTTCTTCTCATCGCCAGAACTTCCATCATCTTCTACTATATCTTTAGTAACAGGTTCTTTGTTGCCTCGCTTTGTGCGAGGTTTTCGTTGCTTTTGCTTTCCATTCTTCTGATCGAGGAGTTTTTTTATTAATTTCAGCAGATAGTCAGCACGCGATTGCAAATGTTTCGCTTGAGGTTTCTTATCTTCATTAGTCAGAATTTTGTCCCCAATTTCAAATGATGAATCCATTTTTATTGCTTCCCAGGAACCCATTCCATATTGATAAATGCCTGCTAGTAACTTTGAGTCGTCTCCCACACCCCATTCCACATCAAAATTGGCGGGCCGTGTCCTAAATTGAATCAAAATATTTAAAATAATCCTATTTAGTTATCTTAAATAAGGCTTATTGAGAACAAAGTTACTACCTGAAATCCAACTGCCATTTAAGCCGTTCTTCTTTAGTGTCTGGCAAGAAGTCATCCAAAGGTGCCAACTCGTTTTGACATGCAGCTAAAGTTTTGGCATTAACAGGCACTCCACCTAATTTGAATGTCTTTCTTGTATTTTTCCGACCACCCTCTGTTGGTTCATCTAAAAGTATAAAATACTTATGACTACTGTCACTTACTTATTGAATTAAATAAATCTTTTAACTGATTGCAAGCCATACTAGTGGTATAAAATGAAATAATATAATGTGGCCAGTAAAGTGATTAACATTAAGTAGTGATTGTCTATATGTATCAAAAACGCCATAGCAAGATTAATTTATCTCACTCTACTCGCTGTAAGTAATTCAACTGGGTTCTGTCAGAAGGAACATTTTACAATTGAATAGTTATGAATGTTTAAACTTAACATATTACTCACTTGCAGAACCCGACGTGTCATTAAGTACCGCTTTACATCTGTCTTGCAGAATTTCTCCTAATTTTTTGAGTTCGGCTAATGGTTTCTCTTGTAACTCTGCATCGCATGCTATACTGTCTAAGTGTTTTAAAGGCGCCGAGAATTTTTTGTAACTTTTGACAAACCTCCGAATCTAAAATTCAACAATGTAACAGTATCATCAAAAAATATTTATATAATACTTATATTATTTCAGCTTTGTGTGCTACCAAGGCAAACCTTGGAGATTACTTTTTTTGTAAGTTTAAGTTAGACAACCAGAGGTGCTTGTGCATAACGGCTTACACACATTGGCTGCCCGACCATAGTACATAGGGAATTATTACTACTACTATTACTTTTAAATTAGGTAAAATACATAATTTCTTATCTAATCCATCGTTCCATACTTACATTATAAATCTGAGTTTGTTTGTTAGCCTTCACTACTAAACCTCTACAATGATTTTAAAAGTTCTTTTACCAATAGGAAGCGAGTAACAGACTACTTTTTATTACGATAGCCGGCATAAACGCGGCCGGAGCCGCGGGCACAAGTTAGCGCTAAGTATAAAAATTATTCCTTGCTGATTTTTATTTTATTAAGACTCTTGTAGTAACAGATCTACCTACTTGTTATTGATTTAAGTTACTCTGGATTTTAGCATATCCATTATTTTATGTTTACTGTATGTGTGCTGTTGCAGTTTTTACTTAATGTGACTATGATATACGTATCAAGCTTTTTTTAAATTATGTGCACTTGAACCAGTCAAAACAAAATCTATTAACGACCAAACAGTTCCTGCAGTCGCCTATTACATTCTTTTTCTTTTTGACACAGGGGCAAACGAGCAGACTGGTCACTTGATGAAAAATGACTATCCCCCCCGCCCATGAACGCCTGCAACTCAGGAGACACAATTCGGCCAGTTACTGGATATAAATGTTATTTAAAAGAATGTTTACCTCTTGATCAGTGAAACCCTTAATTTTTTCCCGGTGAGAGGCCGGTGGGCGACCCCTCTTTCTGGGCCGATCGTCGTCAGCGCTAGCATCAGACGCGTCGCTCTCTGCGTCCCCGTCTCCGTCCCCGTCCCCGTCGGCCCCCTCCCCGCAATCGCCAGAGCTGCGGCCGCGACGTTTCCGACCTCCTTCAGCTTTAATCATATATCAATGTTACCAGGATACCTACTTTTTCTGTATTAAAATCGTTTATTTCATTAATTTGCAATAATCAAAGCCTCATAATATTACTAAATGTGACTTACCATTATCAGTGTTATTAGCCTGCAAGTGTTTTCTTCGCGGTGGTAAGTACAAGTCCTCCATTTCTTTAGTTTTCTCTTGTTCAGCAATTGTTTTCCTAACATTTTCTGGTATGATATCGTCCTAAAATATTTTAAAGATATGTATTTCTATGCAAAGGAAATTGATTACAAATGCAGTGATTGCTATTTTTTGCATACTATGTATCTTGTATAATCAATTTATCATGAAAAAATATTTTTATTATATTTTTTTGTAAATAATGCTTAGTTTTATTATGATTTTTATTTAACATAAATTAGTTTAAAAAAAATTATAAGCTTGGAAGAAACAGTTAAGATATTGTATAGAAGTTTAAATGTATAAAGTATACTTTAGTAATACCTACTGAATTGGTACTGAATATATGATTCGTTTTATCTTAATAAAGTAGTAAATAGCACACAAAGGGATAATACATACCCAGTCTTTGGGATCTTCTTCATTATTTTCATTTTTAACTTCCATTACAGCCTTATCTTCATCAAACGCAAAACTAGCTACTTTGAAGGCAGAAAGCAGTTCATCACCAGCCATGGACGGGCCTTCATCACGAGTTTCAGCACGTCTTAAAATTTCATCAATATCACACTGTAAAAATAAAAGTAGAAAATCTTATCGAATAATCTAAAGGATTAATTTACATTATTTTTTAGATCCTGGAGCATAACTGAATGTGTTGGTGATACAGTTCGTACAATTAAAATTTGAAAGAATAGTAAGACCACCAATTTTAATTTAAACATACTATTTATTTTTCTTCATATATATATATATATATATATCTATAAAGTGAAAGAAATGAAAGACTTCCTTCCATTCTTTTAGTTTAAGTTTATATTGATAAATCGCCCGATTCAACACCTGAATAAATTACAACACCGTAATTTTAAATATATATAGCTTAAATCATTCGAAGAAAATAGATTATTTTATTCTATCGACGCGCCAGTGTTATATCATTACAAATTGACTTCTAATCATAAAATAAAAACTTAAGAAAATAAAATAAAAACTTGGACAGAGAATAAGCGCACTTACGACAGGATCCTCGTCGTTTTCCTCATCATCCTTAAACAACTCTTCAGCACCAAATTTCAGTATAGCATTTAAATCTTCTTTATTGAATGGATTGTTTGCATTTGTTCCTGACGCATCACGTTTATTGAGAACAGTTCTGCCAGTAGTATCCATCCGTTGAATTACAAGATGGTCAAGTACCATTTTTCTTTTCGCCCTTTCAACAATGTCTTCTTCTACAGATCTTGCAGTTACTAGTCTATAAATGTTAACCTGCAATTTGACAATGTTGATTAACTCAAACATGTAAGATGTGTTATTGTTGGAAAAAAAAGTATTTATTTCTGATAAGCACCTGGTTCTTTTGGCCTATACGATGGGCACGAGCTTGAGCTTGTAAATCATTTTGAGGATTCCAATCGGAATCAAATATTATAACAGTATCGGCGGTTGCTAAGTTTATACCTAAACCACCTGCACGTGTTGACAAAAGGAAACAGAAATCTTGAGATCCTTCTGCATTGAAATGATCTAATGCCTGCTTCCTTATTTCCCCCTTTATACTGCCATCCAGCCGTTGGAATGGGAAATGTCTTCGTTGTAAATATTCAGCCAAAATATCCAACATTCTGACCATTTGAGAGAATATAAGCACCCTGTGCCCCGTCTCTTTAAGCCTACATAGCAGCTTATCCAATAGAAGTAGTTTTCCAGAACCTCGGAGTAATTTCTGAAACATTTAAACATTATTTCCTGATTGCAAATGACTATTGCGATTATAATTTTTGTTAAGACAATAAAATACCTCTACAGCATCTGTGGTAGCTAGTGAGGCCCTTGACTCAAAATCTTCAGGCTTGGTCAAAAGAGCATGATTGCAACATTTCTTTAACTCAATAACTATATTTATAAATGTATTAATTGAACCCTTTACTCCTTTTCGAAGGGCGCTGTAGTTTTTGGTCAGAATCCATTTGTAATATTGTTTTTGAATTGATGTCATTTCTACTCGCAATATTTGTTCTACTTTGGCTGGTAATGACTTTTCCACATCTTTTTTCTGTCTTCTCAATATAAACGGTTCCAGCTGTTTATGTAGTTTCTCATATCCCTTAGTTGCAGCATCTTCATGATCTTTCTCAAATTCTTCCCATGATTCGAATCTAAAAACAGTTTCCAAATACGTTATTGCTGTTCAGATTTTAAATACCTTCGAATGTTATTAAAGAGCAACAAAATATTACTTACTTATAAGGCATAATGAAATGTAACAAGGCCCATAATTCCTTTAAAGAATTTTGTAATGGTGTACCAGTAACTAATAATCTGTGATTAGTATCAAACTCCTTTAGTGCTTTGTACAATAATGAGTCATCATTTTTCAATCTGTGTGCTTCATCAACTAATAAACATGCCCAACTGAAAGACCGTAAGAATTGTCTGTCTTTAAGTAAAATCTCGTAAGTAGTTAAGATAGCATTGAATTTCAGTCTTTTTGAGCTAGCAAAACTCCATTCGAATTGTCTTATCTGAAACGAGACAATAATTTAGTAGTATCAAATGGTATTAAAGTTTAATTAATGTGCACTATCACAGGAGTAGTACTTACAATATCTCTACTGCTTACATCACCAATATATGTAACGACATTAATATCTGGTGCCCATTGTTGAAATTCTCTTTGCCATGCAGTCATGGTACTTAAAGGAACAACACATAGGAACGGTCCGTACAACTGTTGTGATTTAAAGAGGTAGTATAGAAAACATATGGTCTAAAAAGAAATGAAAACAAAAAATGTGTAAAAATTAAATACTTTTATAAAGTATAGTAGTTATAAGCATGATATGACTATGTTTTACCTGTATAGTTTTACCTAAACCCATTTCATCAGCAAGAATTACAGAGTTATCTTTACACCAGGAATGTATCATCCAATTTAAACCATCCATTTGATAATCTCTTAGCACATAACTCTGAAACAGACAAATCAACGAATACTAAATTTAGGAGTTCAAGTACAAGCAATAAATACTATTTTTTATAATATAAAAATAATCAATCATTACAGACAGGATAACCATGGCTAGCTGTTTTATTGCAACACCTGGTGGTATTACTAAATGAGTAAACCAATTATTAAAAAATAATCATTAATTATATTCAACTAATTATCTTGTTGATGTAAACTTTTAATATTTATAGTAATAAATATTAAAAGTTTACAAAAAATTGGTAATGGAACATCAAATCCATTGAATATTGTGCAAAAAAAAAACAAATTTAACAGAATATTATTGTTACATATTATTGGTAGAAGAATGACAATGACTTATTAGCTATCAATTATTAAGTCAAACATAAAAGTTTGTAAAATGCCAATCAACAGATGTTGTTGTAGCCAGTATTTTAGTAACACTAACTAAATCAATAGATTGTTACAGAATTCTCCTCAGTGGTGTAAAATTATGTAACCTTTAAAACCTTTAGATACGAATTCAGTGTTAGATATAGCAAGATTAAAACCTAAAATAACTGTACTTACTGCATCTTTTCCCATGTATTCAGGCTGTTCTTTAACCTGATGGAATTTGGGCCTTCTCCTCAAAACAGGACAATGTCTCGAGGGAGTAGTTTTGGCTGCTTCTCTATATTTAAAATGTTCCACTTGTTCTGGCCATCTTTTCTCTATTAAAATCGCATCCTCCCAAGTCGCATCGGCATACGGCAGTGATTCCCACTTACAAAAATATTCGTGAGCAGTTCCACCACCCTCAAGTTCTCTTGTTTGTTCCGCTAAGGCAAACAGTTGCAACCACAATAAGTACATAATTGATCCCATGTCAATAAACTAAATGTATTATTATTATAAACACTCACCTATTATCCTTTCCACAAAGTTGTATGTTTTTACTAACTCTTGTTGCAATTCAGCTTGGCATTCAAAATAATCTATATCTTCAGGTCCTGCTTGCTGTCTCCACCATGACAACTCTGCTTCTTTTTTAATATAATTCTCTAATTTCTTAAGACCCTTAACTTTTTGTTCATTTAATGTCCTCTCAGACTCCCATGTGTTATGAATATGGGACCAGCCTTTCCATTTTATCAGGTACTGAGGTTCAGTAGATTCAACATCATCAGGATTACAGTCTTCATTCAGGTCCCCATTCTCCTCTATATAGTAAACCGTAGTCACATTTCCAGTGACTGCATAAGGATAAGACATTAGCTAAAATTTAACAGTATTTTTGCACCAAAATGCAAATCATATTAAAGTCATAAACACCAGATTTTAGTTTTACATTTAATTTTCATATTAGATGTATTTGATAGAACAGACAAACTCACAAACTTTACCTCTTTATAATATTAGTGTAGATGTATCACATCAAAAGGAGATAACCTCAAAGTACCTATTAATTTGTGTAATTTTACCTCCTTTCTTCCCACGCCGATTTCCTAAGACTCTTTCTATTGTCTCACTGTGATCTTCAGGCTCCGGTTCTGCTTCTTCACCATCCACACCTTCAACTTCCAAAAGATCGGAAGAATCGGTTTGCTCATCACTCGCCTCTTTATAACTAACTGCAGCCCCCTTACGGCGCGTCGCTGTCCGACTATAAAATAATTAATGTTTTTTATAATGCCTACCATTAATCACCAATAGTAAGTACAGGATAAAACGCATTTAAGCATCAAACCTATATAACTCCTAAAGTTATCTTATTAGAGACTAATAAATACGTCGCCGCCATTTTATAATTACATCGGAAAGCAATGTCGAATCTTTTGGATTGATAATAACATATTTTAGATAAGCATTTTCATTCCTAAAGGAAAATGCCCTTATACCTCATAGTATATTGCGTCACAGGTGCAGTCACGTAGGAAAATGCCCCTATACTTCATACTATATTGCGTCACAGGTGCAGTTACGTTTAGAATAGAGTGTTACACCCTTTTAAAAAAAGGGTTTTAATCGGATTGTATAGCGCTAATAAAACACAAAAATTTGATTCATATACACATCTATGCAAATAAATGAAATTGAAGTGTCTGTTTGTATTTTCAAAATAATAGGTATTTTGTTCATGCTCACACGGTTATTTGCACGATTCCAATACCTAAAAACCAATTTACATATTTTTTGTCTGTATGTTTGTTCGGGTAATATTCAAAATGGCTGGCCCGATTTTAATAATATCTTACAACCACGTGGCTGTCTATATAAGGAGTAAGTTAAGCTATTTTGCTCTCAGGAAACCCCTATAAAATTTTGCCCGGTCCGGGAATCGAACCTGAGACCTCAGGGACTGCAGTCGCGTACCGAACTACTAAGTACTAAGGCAGCGCTTTTCAAATTCCACGCGAAATAAGTCGCGGGTACCAGCTAGTAAGTGAAATAAATATGCATTTTGTATTTTCAAATTTCGCGCTTAATTTGACAAAACGATTGACGCAGTAGACGCCATTTTGATCTGTGGTCATGACGTCTGTTGGCGGTGTAAACAGATGCGCTGATATTTCGTATTTTTTCAAACAAAATTAGTTATTAGCCTACTTATTGTCGATATGTTGTTCTTGAATCCAATAATACTACTAGGTTAAAAACAACGGACAAAATGTGGATTCGACTGACACATCTTAATTAACACTATCGTAGTAGACAGGTAGAATTACCGAAAAAGACCTGAAAATCCGAAAAAATCCTATTGGTTTTTTTTTTTAATTAACTATTCAAGTATCAGTAATTGACCGCAATATATAATTATACCAAAATATTGTCAGCTAATGTGCTAAAAGATGTCAAAAAATTCGGTACTATACTTCAAAAAATCGGACCACCAGATAGCCCGAAATTTGCAAAAAAACACATTTGCAAAACTTGGAAAATTGAAAGTGGTAGACTTGTGCAAAATGGTAGACAGTGAAATTTGGATATGTTGTCAGTGTTGTAGTCCTGTAACTACAATTTAATTTTCAGGTCAAAATGTAACTTTTTGCAAACGACGACTTTTGCAAAAAGTGAACTTTTTTCAAGACATTGGGAAGGAGTTTAATTTTTTGAAAATCATTTTCATTGTATAAGGATGAGTTTAACTACAAATATCCAAATTTTAAGATCATTTGATAAATATACATTAGTTTAAATAGTCAATAAAGAACAGGTGGCGGCGTGAGTACAAGGGTGCTTTAATTTTGTACGGCAAGCAGACGTTGGAGCGTGCGAACAGGTCAAGATATACCCTTTCATTGATGCTTCATTTTGGATGTTTGAGTATAAATAACTTGAAATAGATTTTCTCGCGAATGACGTTTTTGAAGTTCGTGAACAGTATAACACAAAATCTACTTGATCGATCCTTTTGAAATTTTCAACGCTATTTCTACACATAAATCGACAGGTAGTGACAAAGAATTTTAACATTTTTCCGTGAAATATGTCATATTTTGGTCTTTAAAACCCGATTTTTAAAATCTCATGTTTTTAAAATATCTTCTTTATGATTACTTATTTCATGTCTTGCGGTTCTTTTGATTTGTAAATTACGTCATTTTGTTAAAATTCAATACATTTTTTTTATATTTTGCTGCCTCTCATGCATAGTATTAAGAAAAAAATTGTTTAAGAAATTCATTGAGCATCTTGTGCTTCACAAAATATTTACATTTGCTATTTATTAGATTACTAAATATTGATTAATATTTGTGCTTTACTGAATACTCAAACATCAATTGCTTTACTGATTCCTCATTCCTAATTTGCTGTAACTATGCCAGCTGTTTAACACACTCGTGTTAGAAGTAATAAGATTTTGCGCTCGATAAATAACATTTATAGATAAATATTTCTGTAATGAAAACTGATCATTATGTCTGCTGAACTAAATAATTATAAATTATTTGATGAATACTGTTTAAATAATCACACAAAAAATCACCAACAATCGGAATACTATTTCATGACCATTTCAGTAATGGAAACTTAACTGTTTTGTATTCACAACTCTAGTCTAAATATTTGACAATAAACATGAACTAAAACTTTTGTCACTTCTGAAGATTTAGGTTTTATTCACACTGCAGTTATACCATTTTTAGCTTTACCGTAATCTTTGAACAAGCAGTACACCTGTACACGGAATACGATAAAGCTATTAGAAAAAACGACACACACTTATACACATAAATTTCATAGCTTTCCTAGATCTAAACATTTATTTTAGATTTCTCTGTCACATAGTCGGAGAATAATTATGTTGTTGGTACAACTAAATCATACATTTCAAAGGTACTCTGTTGTCAAATCTGTCCTTAAAGCTTTAGAGATAACATATTAAGTGATAGTCTCATAACATCATAAAGGTTCACCATAAGCTGATGCAATGAATTTCTGACATCACAGTATAGATAGATAGACCTTCTAAATTATGGTGACTAAGTGGATTACTGCAAACAAAAAAATTACTAATATACCTAACCTTTTAGTCTCATCATCACTGCCTTCTGAACTTTCATCTTCATCACTTGTAAATCTTCTTCTTGCAGGTTTCTTTTTTCGAAGAGGTACACTTCTTTGGCCTGGTCGTTTTGAAGGTGGGGGTGGAGAACCCTTCAAGTCACTATCACTATCTGATGAGTCTGAATTCCATGAATCACTAAAATATGAAAAACTTAATAAAACAAATTTCAAAATGTCAGGTCCATGCATTAAAATCTTTTCTACTACCTTTTTTTTCTACTTTTCCTGCTGTGAGTTCTGCCTCTTTCACTAGAATCACTATCAGCTAATTTTAATCTATCTGGCTCTTTACGTGACCTGCCTGACCGTCTAATGCCATAAATATCTGGATTATCTTCCCAAAGATCAGATTTTAATTTGGCATGACTATTTCGAGATTTGGATTTAGAAGGAGAATAGTCATCTGAAGAATTTTTGTCAGTGTGGTGATCAGACTTTGAAGAATTAGCATTACTGTGTTGTTTAGGTGATGACTTTGTATCATCACTATGATGTGATTGATCCACAGACTTTTCAGACCCAGTTCTTTCCGATCCTGAACCAGATGAACTGGACCCACTTTCACTGTTGAATAAAGTTTATTTTATGAAAAAATGTTTTACTTAATAGATGACAGAAACTTTGTGACAAGAAAAATCTTACCTTTCAGTGCCCGAACCAGATCCACTAGAATCACTCTTTTCACCCTTCTCGCTTGTTGAATCACTGCCAGACTCATTCATGAACCCCTTCTGGGACAAATTACTGAATTAATTATACAGTTCAATAAGATTCTTCTAATGACACAATAAAAAAATGGTGTTATAAAACATATCTAGTCAATTTGATTAATGGTCGAAGACTCAAAGGAACTGAAGAAGTTTTTCAAATCCAGAAATTTTCACTAGACACCTTTAAAGTTATGTTTTAATAACTAAGGTTTTTGTAAATAGTTGGATGTAACAGGCTACAGAGGCTAAGGCTAAGGTAATTTGAAAAAGCAGATAATATGGAAAAACAATTAGTATTTCCATTTCTGCTTTTTCATATTAGATAATTTATTAAGAATTAAGAATTAAACAAAAAAATATATAATATTAGTCACATTTTACATATTCGTATGATCAATTTAAAAACTATTAAGCTGCTTTAAGAAGATAGGAGGGGTATGATGAACAGCATAATTTTGAATTATGAATTAAGTAGTTAGCGCCTAAGTAAAAAATTCAAAAATAACCAGAAATTTTTAGTTAAATACTAAAATAATTTTTATGTGGATAAAATTACACTAAGGAGCAATAAAATATGGACAAAAAAAAGTATATAACCTAAAAAAGGTTATAAGACAGACAAAAATAATCATATTTTAAAGAACAAAAAATTAAAAGCCATACTCCTGAAGACATCTAGTCTGTTGTTAGGCAAAAAACACCAGTTCATTAGCTATAATTCCAGGTATACTGCACATAAAAGCTAAACATAACCTCAAATGCCAGAGGTTTAGTAGTCAGTGCATAATAAGACCAATTTTCAAAGCTAAATTGCAAAAATGGGTCCCTTTTTAAAACAATTTTCTCCACTTGAAGTAGTAAGATTACGTAACAAAGAATCATTGGAAACGCATTATTTAGTGGGACAAGAATGTTTTCATACATAAAAACGGCAAAATTCATTGTAAACAATCACAAAAGCCCTCAAATACACAATTACGTCTTAAAATTTCACCCTATTTCAGGGCCACACCCTAGACGTCTAGAGAGTTCCATGAAGATTCTGGGATTTTAATGTTGATTAAAATAAATAAATACACAAAAACAATACACAAAATAGCTTAAAAATTACTTACCAAGCGCATTTTGTCGAAAATAGAAGGAATACACCGTTTCTTATATAATTAACGATTGATACGAAGAAAATCCAGATAATTCAAAGAGAAAAATCCTAATAAAACACACGATAATATTTTTTTGAGCATATCTTTATGATAAACGATTATAATGCGAAAAAATATTTTGCAGTAAAATCTTGTCAAGCGACGCCATTTTGTCGTCGAATAAATTCTGGTGACGACGGAAATGAAATTTCAGTAATTTTGCCACAAAATTTGAGTTAAATGAAGGTAAACAGAAGCAATAACCACTAAAAAAATGAAAAACGAAACTTTAGAGCCGTCAGAAATACTACTTTGGTACTAGAAATGATGCGAGCACCGCGCACTGCCAGCGAAACTCGAACGCTACAGCCATATTGCCATCTGCCAGCTGCCTAGCGAAATGTTCCATAGAGATTTCAACCAATCTCTTAATACTTAGTATTTTATACTGAGTATTTGACGTTTAGTATTACCAACTTATTAACTTTAAAATTCGGAAAATTGACAAAGTAATATACTAATGGCTGCGAAAGTAAAAGTACCAAACCATTTTATGTATGCAGTCGTGGTTATATGGTGGAGGCCCAAGGGCCACCAGACTCTGAGTTGTCGTCGTTGCACGGGAAGGTATCCGCGCTCTCAATGACATTATTCGGAGAGCCTTTACATCGGTCAGTGTCCATTGCGTGCATGAGCCACCGTGTCTGAGCAGATCTGATGGGAAGAGTCCGGAAGGGCTGACGCTAGTGCCTTGGAAGAATGGCAAGTGTCTGATCTGGGACGCCACATGCCTCAGCACTGTTGCCGCTAGCCACCTGTGTCGCACACTCACCGTCCGTTCGAAGTCCGTCAGCCTGTGCAAGGAAGAGGTTTTAGTACGCCCCTTTGAAAACCATGTATTGTTTCGTGCCTATAGCAGTGGAGAACTTGGGCAATTGTGGTACAAACGCTAAAGCGTGGCGAAAGGAGTGGTGACTCCCGCTCAGGGTCGTTCCTGATACAGAGGTTGGCCAATGCCATTCAGTGCACCCCTAGTTGACAAGCATCACGCAGCTAGCGTTATGGACAACCAGGATGTGTTATTTTATTTTTAATTTTAATTAAATGTTATAATTATAATAAATTGTTAAATTGCATGTGAAAATAACATTAGTAAATTTTAGATATAAAAAAAAACTGTTCGCAATTTATACAGTTAGTTAAAATCGAGATAAATACAGAGATTAGGTAAACATGTCATTATGTATTATTTGTATCGTAACATATATTATATTATGTATTATATATATTATAATATTTATTATATAGAAGTTTTTTTTTTGTTTTAACATTGTGCAGTGTGTATTATGAATGTATACAGTATAACTACATTTATCCAAAGAGTGCAGACAAAACAGAGGAATATTTTGGTTTTAGGCAATGAAAAGTTTGTCAACAAGGCTTCTATTAAGTGTATCGAAAATTTGACTACAACCCACAGTAGTTTAGCACTTCACTTCACTTTCACCTCATAACCATTTATAATCATAGGATAATGCCTCAGTGGTGGTTTCAAACTAGATTGCGTTGTGTGTAGACGTCTGAAAATATTATTATTATTAGTATTAAATCAATTCGCTACACTCATATATAATTATATCCTTTTCCATCTCATCGGCTTGATAAACCTACAGAAACCAATTACACTCCCGTACTGTAAATTAGAATCAGATTTATTGAAAGCCTTAAATAACGTGTAACAACCTTTTTAGTCAATATGCCAACAGTAATATTATCTATTTAAAAATCATATAATAATTTTAAGCCGTTTTCACCAATGAGATATATACCTATGACGAAGAACTTTGAACGTTAGTAAAATTACACATTTTTACTTTTAAATCATTCAAAATACTCCTTTAGTAATGTCAGGTACGTTGTTCTTTGTTAGTACTGGTATTTATAATAAGTTTTTTTTTTTGAATATTGAATTGACTTGAGTGCATCACTAGTGGTACAGACAGTGCTGCCAACTGCTGTCCACTTGTTCAAACGTCACTTCCGTAGTGAAATGTGAGATGAGATCCTCGATAGTTTTAATGATAAACCTAGAAAATTGTTTCTAAAAATTTGAAAAAGCTAGAATTATAATCTCAATAAGTAAAAATGTTTTTGTAATGAAAAACTGAGGCATGTTCGTTTAAATTTAATGATGCCAAAACCATTAACAGATTGAATGTAAGTGACGGTGGATTGGATTTTTGACACCGGAAGTAAGTTTTTATTGTATCAGTTATCGAAGGTTAAGAGAAGGTTGGGAGAACCAGAAATAACAGTAAGATGAGGCAAAAAATATTAATTTATCTTGAACAATTTTCTACTCCATGCGCCAACATGGAGTAAAGTTGAGCAACCAGAGATTAATAACTACTCTTTTTAATATTGTCATAGACAATTGATAGATAGTGACGTCAACATTGTTCCTTTACTTTTTCCGACCTTTTCTGAGACTCCTTTGCCTCACCGGGCACGTTCCAGCCTGCAGATATTAAAATTTCAAAATAAAAAAACTCTCATTTTATAGATCTCAATTAGCCCTTTCGACCTACGTTAATTAATTTATAAGCCCGTTTTTCGTTTTCCCAGGAAAAATAGAAATATAATTTTCAATTTTCCTCTACTTAAAATAGCCATATCTCTTTGAAAAATGATTATTTTTTACTCTACCAAGTGTGAAAAAATTGCCCTTGCGCTAATTTAATTTGCCCGCTTGCTAATTCTTAAAAATATTCAATAATTATTATTGTAAACAATAAAAACCGTCGTTGGGCTTGTATATTTAAAACTTACAGGCGTTAAGGCTGTTGTGTGGGATGATGATGATGTAGACAAAAACGACCTTTAAAACGACGAAAATATCCCGCAGGGAGCACCTTTTTGGGTAAAAAATCGTTGTAAGAGTGGCCCTTTTCCGCACCCTTTTTTTTCCTGTGCGGTAATCCGTTCGGATACCACCAACCGGTGGGGTGGTTATGTCAGCCACGAACCTACTAAAAACCGCACTCCCTCTCGAATACCAGTAGCCGGGGAGCCAGGTTTACCCTAGAAAGGAAATCCCTGGTACCTATAGATAACTTCCGCGTGTAGATAAAATCCTGTGTGGTTCCCTTTATGCTCCCGAAAGAGAACTCGCACTCCCCACTTGTCAGGCCCTGAACTAACATCATGATTCGTTTAAGATTTAGTAGCTATTGATCGAATAATTAAGACGTCAAAATGGCGTAGCGTGTAATAAAGGTGCTCGTCCGACCCATCAGCTCGTATATTATTCCATAAGAAAAAGTAAACAAACAATTTCGAACATCTCATAATAGTGACATTTTGCTTAGATCCAACTTCTTCATCCAAACGTATGTTAGGATAAAAAAATCTCTTAGTAGATATCGTTGGTGAAAATAACATCTAGATGTTACCTCGAATAATATTAGAACTATTATATTACACCGGAGATAATTTGAACGTATACATCTCTAAAATAAATCTGTATGAGTTTAGCAAAAAAAAACTTGTTTACTTTTGTTAACGCTAACGTTCATATAATTGAATAAATTAGCACAAAATATCAATTAAAAGGCGGAACTCATTTAGACTATCATATGCTATGCTTTAATGTAGCGTAAAAAAAATTGCACCACCAATGCAACTAAAACCTATAGGAAAATAAACAAACCAAATTTATCTAAGAATACAAACAAGGGTTAAAATTTATTTGGTACTATTGTTTCTATAAAATGGAAACTAGTAACTTTTATTTTACTTTAATTACTTTGGTCCAAGGGCTAGATACCCAGCTCAATATAATTAGCTCTTAATAGCTATGTCATAAGACCCACATTTTTTATTTTTATTTTACTGTTGTGGACATTGTCATTAATACATAAAAACTTTGGTACAATACCAGAGTTTTTATGTGTAAAACAAAGCTATATTATCTATATTCTTGATGTAATTTCTCGTCTTAAAATTTCTTTAGGTTAAAAACAAAACGTCCTTGTGGTGACGGATTAAGAATTTAGAGTGTCAAAATCCCTATTCATCCCGTGTATGTCGTAAAAGTCGATTAAAAGCAAGGTTTGTAGGACAACAGCACAGCAAAAGAAGGAAAATTTGAACCAAACTCTATTCCAACCCGAATCGGCAGCATGGGTAGGCCACAACCTCCTTTCTAGGGAGAGGCCTGTGTACGGTAGACTATTATATACTGTTGATGATGATTATGATGCAAAAAAAAACTGTTTATAACATTTTCATTGCAAAAAGAAATAAGAGTTCATTAGGACTAGAGGCACAAAATTTAAAGGTTTAATAGGTATTTACTTATAAAACATTTTGAAATAAAAAGTGACGATCTACTTTTGCTGTATACATACATTCATAGATGTTTAAGTTTAAAATTTTAAACTTTAATTCTGAATTAAATATTTTTTAACAAGAAATACGAAGTTATATGTTCAGTTCCGTTTAGTTATACGAAAAGCAAAATTTTAAATTATAGTGAATCGAACATAAACAAAAAAAAAATTTTTTTTTAACAAGTAACAAATAATATTCGATTTGCAAAATAAGCGATTAATCTTTACCTCAGCAACGCTTAAAATGTAGCAACACTAAAATTAAAAAAATAAAATTATAGAACGTAAGTGTGGGACATCTCGCAGAAATAAAGAATCAAGCGATAGTTTAAATTATTTGTAGAAATTTGAAGTGAAGTATGTCCACTTAAATTAATTCTTTTATTTTGAAGAAGAAGAGTGGAGAGAGAGATGCAAGACCCGAACAATCTTTTTCTCTCTCTAACGCTGTTACGCGCCTACAGCCATCATACTCTAGTAATAGCAGCCTACTCTAGTTATATATTATCTCTATGGTCAAAATGCACTTCTTAGATTATTTTGACTCCAATTTGAGAAATACATACTATTTTTTGGATAATTAACCGGCTATTCACAAACTTAATTATCGTTTCAGATCCATTGGTGTTTTACCTCCGGAGCAAAGGCACAAATTAGAAAATTGCATTGTCATTTTGATAAGATGTAGGGGGTCGCTTTTGTAATTAAAAAGTATGCGTCTCAATCGTAAAATAAATAAATTGTATAAATAAATAATAGGTTGTGTTCGTAGAAGGGTGGTTTTTTTTTAATCCACACTTAAGTACAACAAATTTAATATAAAATATAGAAAATTAATGCCATACAAATAAAATTCAGTGGAATGGGACACCGTTAAAGTAATGCTTAGAATACTAAAGACAAATTCTTATACTATCGCTTGTGTAAATCAAGGCTGTCCAAACCAGATCTATTCTAAGACCAAAAAAAAAATACTTAAGATTTTGTAATGCAACAAAAAATATTTGAAGGGACAAAAATAAAGGTATATCATTGTTTTCGATTTTATTACTTTTTTAATAATTTATATTATATCAACAACAATATTAATAGTTGCTAAACGCAGTTTATCCATAAGTGATGTTTCTGTCAATTTCGACTTTAAAAAGTTTATAATTTATAAAATATGCACTCTTAAAAAGATATATACTGCCTATAATCGAATCCAAGACCGGCCCACCATCTCCCATTCAAGAGAGGAAAAACTCACCATCTCCCGGGGAAGCCCAAAAACGTAGCCTCTAACAGAGATGGGAAATTTATTGCCATCTGGCAAGTCTACCAAAAAGAACTATATAATAATATTTCCTCTAGGGAAAAAAAAATTAAGGCAATATTCTCCTTTTTTAAAGCAAAAGCAAAACATTTCGTGACAACGCGAGCCGTGGTTTGGACAGCTCTTGCGCAAATTAGGCCCAAACCCTAGTTAACTAGAGTCCGATTTAATTAGTAATTCCAGTTAACCGATCACTATCAACACCATGACTGACAGGTCCTCTTCTTTTGTCAATGATCATAAAATCTATTAAACGTCAGGCTGAAAAATCGATATCAAAACTTGCGCCCCTGTGTCAGTATTACACATGCGTCGTAAAAGCTTTGTAGTACTTTGTACTGAACTTTCGAAGTAGACATCTATTTCGCAACTAAATTCCGTATTTAATTTAATATTCGTTATAAACTAAAATATATCAACAATACTGTACTGTGAGCGAATTCTAAAGGTTAGTTTTTTGTGAACAGAAATTAAATTGTGTAAAATACTAATGTAGAAAAATATTTACATATCTACTATATTTTGTACAAAAGCCATTAAATATTTTTCTTACTTTTCAGTTACAATATGCTGTTACTAGATTTGCCGGAAGAACTTTTGATCATAATCATTCGAAAACTGGACTTTTGTGCGCTATATGGTTTATACAATACATGTAGAAGATTCAGAAGTATTGTGCGTATGCATGGAGGTTTAAAACATTGTTGTATGTCTCGGAATATTCTGGCATCAGTCAATACGTTAAAACTCAAATTTTTTAAGGAGATCTCACATGGTATAGTAGAGTTGAATATGTGTGGTGTACCTGATCTACGCAGGACACATATTTTGAAGGCTGTGAAAATGTTGAAACAGCTTAAAGTATTAGATATATCCTTTACCAACTTAGACATCCTTGATTTGATTGAAATTTGTAATGTTTGTCCAACTATTAAAGACATTACCGTTAACTTACAGTGTGGTAAATATGGCAGTGTACCAGTAGATATCAGGTTAAAGTGCCAAAGTATGTTTCAACAATTTGATAATGTTCATTTTGTTGGATCTTTGGTTAATTTGTTGTGCTCAAAGTTTATAGTGTTCATTTTAGCAAAATCTAAATTGCATCATTTAAAATATACACGCAGTGAAAGTTCTTCCTCATATGTTATTAACAACACAAGTGGTGATACTTCCGATGAAGATGATGACGATGACTATGATGATGATGATGATGATCATGATTATGATTATGTAGATTATCGTACAACATTAACCCCTCACATTGATAAATTTTCAGCATTTATAATGAATTGGAAACATAGAAATACATCTACAATATTAAACATGAGACTTTCGGATTTTCCTGTTTTGTCTATGTTTAATGTGAAAAATTATGAATATGTAGTCATTTCTATAGAAGAGTTTAATACTAAAGTGTATGCAACACAAATATTTAATAACTTCTTCAAGGATTTGTTTGATATTACAGTAGAACGTTCAAAGTATGATATGAAGTTGTCTTCTAATATGGCTGTTATGGTATGGAATAAAGCTACAACCAATTTTAATGATAGTTTTTATAAAACATTGTCAAAAAGCTTAAAACAGTACTTACCATACTATTTTGAATCTGGCAGTGAAGATAAATTGCCATTGTCTGATTATGATTGGTTTTACACAATACCAGGTGAACCAGTTCGAGAAAAACCAGATCATTATGTAAAAAAAGTAGGCAATAAAAGAATGGCAGTATGTAATAACTTGCTTTTAAACTATGATAATGTATTTGAAGGCAAGGATAACATTGAATTAAGTTTAGTTTTTAAAAATCCTATAAACAGTCCAATAGCTCTGACAGCAAATTGTGAGTATTTGAGAAAACTTACTTATTTAAGCTTTATCAATATAGGACGATACAGTCTTGATTTCTTTAACATTTTATTTGTCTGTTGTATTAATCTGAAAACACTGAATGTAGAAGGTTTATCATTACCTCCTTGTGCATCAACGGTTGCTCGATGCTTACCGTTAAGCCAATCTTTGAACAATTTGCGCTTAGTTGATAGAGATATAGATTTCCCATCATTATTTACATCAGTCACACAATGTAAAACTCTACAAAATATTCATATTGTAGATAGAACAGGGTATTGCTGTGATTTGGGTGATCCAAATTTTTTAGTAGAAAACTCTCATCAATTATATAGTGTTTATATAGGAGGAGAAATGAGTAGTTCACTTAAAATAAAAACATTGCAATCATTTAATAAAGCAAAAAGAAGGTGTAATAAAAATTATATTAATGTTGTGGTAAAAGCAAGATCTGAAACATCACGTGCAGATTGTACATATGACACATTTATTGATGTATTCAGATTGAATCCCATAAGACCAATGCTAAAGTAAATGTTTATGGTTATTTTTATTCATGAGTATGTTAGTGTTTATATTTATTCCATGTAAAAGACTAGTATAGTGAGATTGTGGAATTTTTGTTAAAGTGTGTAATCAACTGTAAATACTTTACTTAACATTAATGTAATATTAGTGGCCTACCATATTTATTTGTTTATAATTAAGTGACAATATAGGTTACAAATTGTTTAATATGTAAAGTTCAGTGTTTAAAACCTTTAATTAATGATATTTTTTCTAACTAAAATATTTATTTTAAATCATTATACTTATTGCTCAAAACTGCAAATATTATAGCTTACATACATTAGTGTATGCTGTATTTTTTACCTATAAGATGTATACAATATAATGGTAATATTCTTCTAAAATTTGTTAGGGTCATAATTTTTTATATTGTAATAACTTACCTAAATTATTACAATAGATAGGTGAATAAAGAGGTGAAAGGTACGATGTACCGCTAACAGTAATATGAAAATTCCATCTAAGAATGAAAAGTAAATAGAAATGATGAATCAGCATTATGCAATGAGTGTCTATGGGTGTGTTTTTGGTTAAGTACCATACTCGGACCTTACACCTGTCCTTAAGTAAGGTAGTTATAATTTAAATGGGTAGTGTTTTAATAGGCCATTCAAGATACAGTATATTGTGTGTATACATTAAATATAATATTATTGTAGGTACCTACCATTCTGGTGGAACCAGATTGTCCCAGTCACTTTCCCTTTCATATAATTTTTTTTAGCCTTCATACACAGTAAAAACAAAAAAGTAATTCATTTTAAATACAATTTTAACATATACTTTTTGAAAACAGGGATCACTATAAGTAATTTAAAAAAATGTAAAAGCAACATTTACAGAATGCCTCATTTCTGCAAAATGGATAGTGCCACCACGAATTTCGTTACAGGTGCCATAACTAAAATGAGGGGCAATACAAAAATAAAGTGTCCAAACTTATAAGAATTTACCTTTTTTCATTAAAAACAAGTGTTGTATATATTATTATAGAATCAGAGAATATGCCAACATATACGTATAATTTTATTTGATTGATTGATGATTTGATTTTTAAAATTTCTTTTTTCTATGGTATCATATGTTTATGGTAAGGTGAAGTTTTACTTGCGTGTGTATTTTTGGGATGCCCCGACTATAATATTATTATAGTTTCACTCGTTGATGCGCCCACTCATGGCATTCGCAACTAGTCGGGAATCTCCGAAATGCACACGCGAGTAAAAATCAGAATAAATATTAATGTACCGCAAACATTTTAATGTTACTCACCAAAGTTTTAGTTGTAATATTTAAGAGTTACCTACGTAATACCTACCAATAAATTTAATTACTTGACTGTGATTTATTGTTTGTGAACATGGTCATGATCTTTTGTTTTCCTTTTTATTTTATTTTAAATTGGTTTAAACAACTTTGAAGTTTACCATTAGCCCCGATGATGTCATGTCAATCCCGTAATATGTCGTAATGGTAAACTGCATAAGAGGTAAAAATAACTTTATCCTGAACATCTTTACAAAGGAGATCAACTACATTGGTACCGAGTTGTACATTCTAAAATTTTGTATGTTATATTACATGTAATAATGAGAGTATACGACAAAATCTGAAACCAGGGCCTCAATTCTGCTATTTTATGTTCGCCAAGCCACTGTCATACCACTGACACGCTATTGAGATGCCATCGAGTGGCCATTGGCCAATAAATCATTTATTTATAATTTGAAAATATATTACGTTTTTTTGAGGAAATGATTTATTTATTTTTCACATGGTATGACAGTTTGTCATATCATACCACTGACACGCTATTGAGATGCCATCGAGTGGCCAACTGTGTCTTTACAGTGGCGATGGAATGGCAGTGGCTCATCAGTGGTGATATCCAAAAGATTGTCATATTTGGAAAAATCCGTCCGTGTGGTGACGGATTAAGAATACAGAGAGTACCACCCCTATTCATCCCGTGGGTGTCGTAAGAGCCGACTAAGGGAAAAAACTAAGCAGGACAACAGCACTGCAGAGAGAAGGAAAACTTGACACAAACCCTTTACCAACCCGTCTGGCCAGCGTGGTATAGTAGGCCAAAACCTCCTTTCTCAGCAGAGGCTTATGTATTTAGCTCACCTACTGATAAAAAAGACCGGTCAGGTACGAATCGAACTCGTGCGCCGAAGGTTCAGTACCTACCCAGATTTTACGTAGATTTTCGCGAAAATTTGTAAGTACCAAAATTTATCTTAATTTTCAACTTTTTTTAAATTTTTGGAATGATTCCTTTATTTGTGCTGTAAGACGTTTCTTTTTGCGAAATTTCGTGATTCTAGGTCAACGGGAACTACCATATAGGTTTTCGACCCAAAATCTATAGGGTACTTCCGGTTGAGCTAGAATGGTCAATTTTGGTTAAAAGCAAGTCTTACAGCACAAGTAAAGAGAAAATTCTGAAAAAAAAAGTTAAAAATTAAGGTAAATTTTGACACTTAAAAGTTTTCGCGAAAATCGAAATTTGCCCATATCTTTTTATCGTGTTGACTCAGGACCTTGATTTTCATATATAGATTTCATTATCTGGTATAATTTTCAACTTCTAGCAAGTCTACCCGTTCCTGAGAAAATCGGTGGTGACACACGGACAGACGGACAAGAAAGTGATCTTATATGGGTTCCCTTTTTACCTTTTGTAGTACGGAACCCTAAAAAATAATAATAATAATAATAATCATTTATTTCAGGTATAATCCCATAGGCAAAAACACAAAATCATAAAAACATAAAATCAGAAAGTCATAAAATCATAACATTATAAAAATCGTAAAAATCATAACATCATAAAAATCGTAAAAATCATAAAAATCATAAAAAATACACAATTATAAAGTCGGAATACTAAAATTAGAACAAAAAATAAAATGAAATTATTATCACCAGATTCATTACAATACAAAATAAATGAAAATTAGCAACAAGTACAATAAAATACGTCATTTACCTTTACAAATCGCATATTCTGTATCGACAACTATGATAAACCGCCTGGACAATTCATAAATGAATCAGCCCTCTTTCGTAGCACTGCAAAGAAGTCGTCTACCCTGTTCCCGGCGAACATGCCAGATGCACTACACCGCCACGGCAGGTTAAGCATGGCTCTAAAAGCGTTATTATACTGTACTCGTAATGCGTTGTACGTTCTCTGGGTGTAATTCCTCCATAAGCTACAGGTGTAAAAGGACTGACAGTACGCCGCGAACAGGGTGACTTTAACCTCCCTAAGGCACCTAGCGAAACGGCGTGCTAACATATTACTCTTAGCGGCAATAGACCTCCTTTGCCTCTCCATGTCATCATCGTCCCTAAGGTTATCCCTTATTACGTGCCCTAGATATTTGAAAGAGGTTACGGTTTTAAGTGGTGTCCCGCCAATAGTAATTACTGGGTTAAAGCTGTTAGTTCTGTCGTGTCTAAAAATCATAACCTCCGTTTTGCCCGCATTATAGGTCAGTCCATGACTTGCAGAGTATTTTTCACAAATGTTTAATAATGTACGCAGACCCTGAACGGACGGGCTCAGCAGAACCATGCGGCGTAGCTCAAGTTATTGACAGGTTCATTTGTCATGTGACAGCCGACTCCAGACCGGCCGAGCTCCCCGATCAGACCGTTGACGTACAGGTTGAACAGAGTTGGTGATGTCAGCCCACCCTGTCTTACGCCACACTTAAGGGTATACTCTTTTGAAAAACCTTTATTGGCCCATCTTACCACGTTACTCTGGGCACCATACTAGTACTTGAACAGTCCCAGCAAGTCACAAGGCACGCCAACCTCCTTCATCTTTGCCCATAAGATATTATAATTTATAGTCTCGAATGCACGGCTGAGATCAAGGAAGCAAGCGTACACACTCGTATTTTTACTGTTATAGTATTTTACCGTGTTTTTTAAAGCGAAAATAGCCATTTCAGTTGAGTGTCCCCCGCGGAACCCAAACTGCACTATTTATATTTATGTGATTTAATAATTCGGGATGTAATAGCCTCTCAAACATTTTTGTCATAATGGTCGCCAGAGAGATAGGACGGTAATTCTTTATGTCAGACTTATCCCCCGACCCATTTTTTGGCACGGGCACAACCACTGTCTTTATAAAAGTTTTTGGTAAGTAACAGTGGGACAGACATAGATTGTAAAATTTAGGCATTAGTTCAAACAACAAATGACCACCATATAGGATATGTTCCACGCTCAGACTGTCGTGTCCAGGCGATGTCCCTTTCTTCATAATTTTTACGCACTTAAATACGCTACATGGAGTTATACAAACACTGGCGTTAGATAATGACTCGCCGATTCGTCGGCTTCTACTCGCCGAGTCACACTGCGACTGAGGCGACGACGGTAACGGTGTCGGTGGCGGCGGCGCCCCCCCCCCCAGCCGTTTGGAATTGCTGTGCGAACTGCTATTTCAGAAATATTGTGACTATTGTTGACTGTCACGGGCATTGCCGGTTTAAAAGATAAACTGTTTGTCGATTTCCAAAAGCTCTTGAAGTCATGATTTGACCTTCGCTCAGCAATTATATCCATTTTTATTTGATTAGCATTATTTTGACACCATCTTATTTTATTCTTAAATAACCTTCTAGCTGTACACATATTATCATACAGCACCCCCTGCGACGGCCTACCGTTTAGCAACCATAGTTGAAAATTTTAGCAACCATAGTTGAAAAGTATAATAAAATGCTTTTTAATTAGATAAGTAGTTGGTACTCTGGTTATACTTATTTATACGACTTAACAACTTCAATCAACACATACGATTAGTGTATTCGATTATAAATCTTGTTTCCACAAGGAATGCTTCCACATGATGCTAAATGTGGATTTACTTAAAATATCGAAAATGCAAACTGCTATTTCTAAAAATCGCCATTTCGAAATACCCGAGCGTGTTAGATTTTATACAGACAGTTCATCTTAATGTTCCTCTCAAACTAGCCAAAAATTTGACGATAATTTTGCATTTTTTGTTTACGATACGCATTCGAAAATTTTTCGCTCTCGAGGCACAGGGTATTTAAATTTGACGATTAGAAGATTCGAAGTACCTATTTTGTTTATTTTTTAAATGTGACATAGGCACGAAAAATTATTTAGACATTTGAAGAAGGTTTCTTGCATTGTTTGCTTCAAAATAATAAAAAAAAACCAGGTCATGGTTTTTTTTTGAACTTTGTGACCCTCCCAGTGCTTTACGTCACGCTCAAATCATCAGATTTTTTAACTACACACTGTGTATGTTATTGACTCAACTTACCTTAATCTTACACACTCGAGTATTTCTGGCCATCAATTTTTTTTTAAACTAATCTGACGCTTCCCCCTATGTGTAGCTCATATATAGTGAAAGTACTCATCTGGGTGTAAGGTATTCCTCCTATCTTAATCTGTCGCGCTCGAGTAAAACCCGAAATAAACCGCGCGGCCACGCAGTTCTCTTAAACGGAGGGTAGTAGAGGCCCTACTCTTTGCTAACCATTGATACGATTTCGAAGAAAATGTATACAGTATTAATAAAGCCCTAAGGCTTGGACTTCACGACCTACAGAACTTAAATGCAATGGCCGCGCGGTCGAAACATGGTGAAATGCGCGGCCATGCAGTTCTCTTAGAGCAGGGATGCACAGACTTATTAAGACTAGGGGCCACTCGGGCAAATTATGAACTGATGGCGGGCCGCCAGAAGGTAATTAAAGACAATAAAGAATTGATAAATATGTATTAAAATTGAAAAAGAATTTATTAATTTGAAGCGTGGCACTGCATAGTGCTTACAATCTTTTTAATATTTTGCTTAAATTTACTTGTAGCAACACGTAAAACTGCTTCCAAACTTTCATTTGCAAGGCAGTTTCGATTTTTTGTTTTATTATTATTTAGTATTGAAAAGGTTTGTTCACATATATAGGTAGAACCCAATAAGCTGGCACATTTCAGAGCGTTTATGCGCAACTCTTTGTACTTATTTTTATCAATGCAGCGGTAAAAGTTCAGCAAGTCTCCTTCGTTGAATTTGTTGCGTAAATCTTGGTCGTTTTGAATGTCGATAATGTCTAACTGCATTGACTCTGGCGCATTTTCAACTGAAATCGTGAAAGGATTGCTGAATATGTCCAACAGAGGTTTCACTTTTTTAAACTCCGAAAATCTGTCTTGAAAAGATTGAATCAAAATACTCGTATCTAGCTTTTCTACATAACTGAAATTAATCGCAGTTTTGTTGAATTTTTCAGCCATTTTCTTATAATTTGGAAAATGATTGTAATTTCAAGAATTCAATTGCGATCTGAAAAGTGTCAGCTTGCCTTGAAAGGATGATACATGAGCGTAGAGCTGGGATATCAGTTGATTTTTGCCTTGAAGCCGTGTGTTCAAGACATTCAAATGATTTGTAATATCAACTAAAAAAGCCAAATCACACAACCAATCAGGATTTTTAAGTTCCGGGACATCCCTTTGCTTTTCCGCCAAAAATATTCCAATTTCTTCTATTAAATTTAGAAATCGTTCCAGTGTCAATCCACCACTTAGCCACCTTACTTCTGTATAATACAGTAAATTTCCATATTCGCTTTCGATGTCATCAAGGAATTGTTTGAATTGCCTGTGATTGAGCCTCGTGATTTCATGAAATTTACAGTCGAAACTACCACTTTCATGACATTTTGAAATTCAATTTTTTTAGAACAGAGGGCTTCTTGGTGTATAATGCAGTGAAACTGCATGAGATCTTCAGCGTTTATGTTTTTTTCTTGCAGATGCTTTTTCAGCAAAGTACTCAAGTTCTGGGCTAGCCAGAATTGACACCAATCATCGAAGGAGCACCGTCAGTCGCAACTCCCGATAATTTTGATAAGTCCAAATTAGTTTTTGAAGACTCATCCAAAAGTACATTGAGTATATCAACTCCTCTGGTTTGACCTTTCAATGAACACATTCCTAATAACTCTTCTAAGACTTCAAAATCTTGAGTAACACCTCGTATGAATATGAGAAGTTGAGCTGTGGAACTAATATCAGTGCATTCGTCGAGTGCTAATGAAAAAAATTCAATGATCTTAGTTTTTTCATTTAATTGTTCCGCAATATTACCTGACAAAAACATAATTCGTCTTTGGATAGTCATACGATTCAGTTGCATTTTCTCAAACTTTTTTGTTGCTTCTGGGCACATTTTCTTAGCGGCAATTTCTATGCATTCTTTTACAAAATCCCCATCATTGAAGGGGCGACTTCGCTTTGCTATCATTCGAGATATTTCATAACTAACTTCTGTAGCTGTTTCTGAATCTTGAATGGGTTTTGTAAACATAGCTTGCTGACCAATCAGCTCCCGTTTTAACCCGTTTTCCCGCAACATTTTTTGCTTTCTTAATTCGCCTGTAAACTTGATAAAACTAGGATGCTGCGTTTCATAGTGCCTTTTTACGTTATATTCCTTTGCAATCGCAACAGAATTCTTGCAAATTAAACAAACGACTTTGTTATGCGACCATACAAAAAAGTATTTCTCAGTCCAAATTTCTTGAAACTGCCGATTTTCATCTTTAACCTTACGTATTTTACTAAGCCCTGGCTTGTCCATGTTGAGTTTTTATCCTGGCTAGGATTAACATAGCACCTAAAAACAATTACAGTACCTACTTAAATTACCCATCTTTTTTTAAATTACCAAAAATAATTGATTAAATAGGTAGGGAAACTTATTAATAACAGAGTTTTACTTCATCATCATCATCAACAGCCTTTACTAGTCCACTGCTGGACATTAGGAAGGAGGTTTACTTACGATTTCACAACACAATTATACACGGCACTTGACGGGAAATCTACGTTGAATGTGGATCAAAATATATGACACCGGCTAGTCGAGTTAAAATCTACACTAGAACTATTGACACTTCACTCAAATTAAAACCGAACTGTCGGTCGCTGCGGTTAGCGTGGCTTTTATACCGCGCGTATAGAGTCGAAAACTGTCTGGAGAAATCTCGAAACCGACTCTGGAAGCTTCGTGTATCTACCTACGCGAGCAATCGGGAATTCGGGACTATTGCTATCTCGCTTGCTCTAACAATATAACCCGTGGATAAGCCGCCACCGCGCTGCCGTCGTCGCCGCGCTTCCTCAAGAAAACGAATTTAACCGAGATCAGCACGAACATAACCGACCGCTGTTACCGACGCATGCATGGCGCACCGATAAGCGCACTCAAGAGCGCGGGCGCGAAGTTCAAATTACTTTTCGAACATATTTTTTTTTTGTTTTATTCTGGAATAGAATTCAATATTTTTCGAATGTACGAGAGTATTATTTTTGCTGTCGGCGGGCCACCAGTATTCGACCGGCGGGCCACGGTCTGTGCATCTCTGTCTTAGAGCTTAGTAGAGGTCCCATTCTTTTTGCCAATCACTGGTACGATTTCGATGAAAATGTAGACAGTATGAATAAAGCCCTTGGTCTTCATGACCTACAGAACTGTAAACCTAAAATGTAACAGAAAAAGGGTGACCAAGATTTATGGTGCGTCAATCAGACATTTCCGAAAGCGTTGTTTTATATCACGTAGGTATCTATTATTATCATTTTGAGGGAATAAGTAAGAAGCTTGCTACATTAAACTAACCTGTGGTAAGAAGTACTTATACGAAAATATTGACACCGTATTGGTATAAATACTACTTTTCACTTTTTGCAAAGAAAACACTCATTATTTAATCATACACATTTTTATTTCTCAATGTAGCTTCTTTTAAAGTTAAAACATAAAATTAAACAAAAACAACAAAACGTTAATACTAAAAATTTAACACCGACGACAACAACAAAACATTTTAAACATAAAATTATTTATTAACTAGCGATCCGCCCCAGCTTCGCACAGGTGCAAAATAGCGTTTTGAGGTTCGGAACCCTAAAAATAAAACATACCATTGCGGACTTTTTTATAGATCTTTTTAAGATATACAATTCCCTAGTACATTATTTTGGTATATCTCGTAAAGATTAGCCAGCGTTAGCAATGTAATCTTTGAAATTGAAAATTTTAAATGCCTACGATCCGAAAAGAAGTATCCCTTGCATCGTGATTTCATAAAACCACACCACACTTTTATTAACAGGCAGTCTCTGTGTAACTAAAATGTACTTATGGTTCTACAGTAGAACATTTCTCACTTATTATCAAAGAACTTAATCGCCTTTGGTAATGCGATTTAGTTGGCGATTTCTTCAGCAGTGGTATTCTTGGGTTGCTCTTCAGTAGGTTGCTCTATAGATGATTCTTCAAAACATGCCCAAAATAGTTTATGAGTTTCCGAATCGATCTGCTCACTTTCATTGTCTAAACGAGACCTTTTGGATGCCGTTTCTGGATCCAAATCATCATTTTCGTCATCTAAAGAAAGCCTAAGACCTTCTCTGAGCGCAGCTCTACGGATCCGTTCAACTTGGGTAGCGTCAAGGTAAAAGTTCTTGTAGCGGGGGTCTAAAAATGTCGACAAGTAATATGTCTTCCTAAAGCATAGATCGTCCAAGTTAAAACGGCTTCCATATTTTCTATCAACACCTTTCTAAAATCATCAACGTGTGTAGTTTGTTGAATCAGCGCATCTTTCATTAGGTATCTGCTTAATGAAACAGTGCTAGGTATCACATCTGATATAGGTGCAGATGTGGAACTCGTGATTTTTGTTATCTCTTCGAAAGGTTTTAAGAGCTTTAACAGATGTTCTATAACCTCCCACTGATCACTGGTCAAATTTTCAAATTTCACGCTCCTTGATTCTGAAATATACACCGAAATTGCTCTTTTTTGTTCAGATAGACGCTCCAGTAAGTAATATGTTGAGTTCCAGCGAGTTTGAATATCTTGAATCATTTTATGATTAGGACTGATGATGATGATGATTAGGACAAAACATTATTAATAAGACGTTTAAAGCCCACATGATGATCGACGATGGAAAGTGGCTCGTTGTCAACAGCAATAATTTCACCAATCAAGTAGTGATATCTTTTTGCTCGGCTATCGTTGATGTCCCAGAGCTTTTTTTTTTCAAGTAGTTGTTGCAGTGACTGTTGCACCAAAGGCTGACTGGGCAACTGGGTGGACGAGGAGGTACTTGAAGATGACTCTGCGGGAGCATTATGTTGAGCATGACTACTTGAGCTTCCATGAATTTTACAATACTCATCTGCGAACAAAGAAAAGAACCCTTAATCAGGAACGTAGGTAGCGGCAATTATTTAAATAATGTGCTACAAAACTCACAATAGTACAATATACTTCATAAATGAAAATAACTTTTGAAACAAATATTATATTCTTACTAAGTTCTATTATTACTTAGTAACGGTAAAATAAATAATATAAGTAAAAAAAAAACTAACCTGGGTGTTTGAATTTCAAATGATTCTGCAAAGCCGTTGTTCCTGCTTTTTTTGCTGCTCTACTTATTTTTACACCACACAAAACACATTTTGCACTGTTCTCTAACTCTTCCTCTTCAAAATGTATCCAAACATGAGATTTTTTTCCTGGGTTAGGCATGATTGTTCTTCTTTTTAAGTAACACTTTAACTAATTAAGTATTCATCAAGTCTTTAATTCAATAGCAATTTTCAAATAAGTATAGAAATAAAAACACGACAACCGATGTCTAAAATCAAATAACAAATGCGTGCCGCCTATTTTAAACACAAGCGTATTGATTGAGCGGGAAATCCCCTATAATAATAAACGCTGGGTTATACAAAACGGGGTATTCCCCGTAAACTATGAAAAGGGTTGCCAGCATTTAAAAGTGGAAAATTAAATTTACTACATATATGTAAATATGTATAACACGAAACAGATTTCTTTAACTTTATTCTTTTCTTTTCTCACAACCTTAGAAGAAATTAGAAATATTTTTAATGTTTTTTTTATGTCGAATAGTGATGTCGAGTTATTCGACTATTCGCCAAAGTGAATGGCGATTAATCGGTATTCGACTATTTGCTATAACCACTATTCGCGGCAACTCTATTCGAAAGTCATGTTATTTTAATTTAAAATTCAGTCATATGTTTTATTTTAAGATAGTGTTATGTTTTTGTGAAATTGTGGTAGTTTTTGGCGCCATCGATAAACCATCTTAAGCTACTCCAGATAATTTAACAAAAGCAGTGGATGCCACTAATAAAGACTTGATGCAAACATGTAACTGGAGCAGGAAGTATGGACTAAGTGTAAACCCCACCCAAAACCGAAGTAATTATTGTAGGTAAGGTAAGGTAAGGTAGTCCCAGGCTGCACTGTAAAATAAACTTTCACCAAATACCAGTTGTTTGTTGCAATGACTCGGTTGTACCTTACATATAGCTTACTATCCTAGGGCCTCCAGATCGGAGAAGTTAGCTTCCTTCCCACCAATACTAAAATTGCGCTCGCATAATCTTTTCTTCTTCCCATCCTCGACTACGGCGATGTTAGCTATCTGGATCTCACCGAAGACGACCTAAATAAACTTGAGCGACTCCACAACCTATGTATTAGATTCATATTTGGATTACGCAAATATGATCAAATCTCAGAGTATCGTTCTAAACTCAAGTGGCTACCAATACGCTTAGCCGGAATCTTCATATTCTTTCTCTTTTATACAGAACACTTGGTGTGGGTGTGTGGTGAGATAAGAGGGTGTGTGGGGATGAAACAGAACACTGTTTCATCCCCACACACCTTCTTTTCTTAAAGAATGTTTCCAGTCCTTACACAACACACATTGCAGGGACCTGAGGTCATCGGAGAATGTAAAACTAAAAATGCCACAACATTCCACACAGTTTGCAGACAAATCTTTGACTGTGCAAGCAGTAAGACTTTGAAACAACTTGCCTTTGACAATCCGACAAGCTAAAACCTTGCCCGTTTTCAAAAAGCTAGTGAAGGATTTTTATTTGAGATTCTAAATACTTTTTGTTTCATTATATATATTTATATATGTGTATATTATGTTTATGTAAGTTTGTATGTATCTATGTACATATGTGTATTTATCCATGTATAATGTGAACAGATGTATATTTGTGTATGTATGCTTTTGTTGATATTTTTAAATACTCACGTGATAATGCGTTCCGTGTATACATACTGTATAACTACCACGTACTTGCGTACTTGTATAACTATCCAAACTTTTTAATATCTAATATTTATATTAAGGTTGTCTGTAAGAGATCGCCGTGAGCGTTAAGACCGCCGTTTGTTACGTCTAGATATTTGTAAACAACTTATGTGTTAACTGTATACAATAAAGATATAAATAATAATAATCTGAAAGAGAGTACAATTTTCGAATATGAGTTCCTATTATTGGTTTAATCGTTTTAGATCTGATAATTTTGAGTTGAAGAACGAGCCACGCGAACGACGAAGTGAAGGCGATAGTTGAAGCGGATCCAACTCATTCTACGGCTCAGCTTGCTGCAGGCTTTGGAGTTAGTGTCAAAACAACATTGAAGCACTTGCGTCAAATCGGAAAGATAAAACTACTTGATAAGTGGGTCAGCAAAGACGGATTAAGTATTAAGAGCACCCTAGCCAAGCATCTAATCGGCGCCCCCTGCGTCTCTCTATCGCCCATACCATATTATTTTTATAAAAATAATATAGTATGGGCGGGCATAGAGATGCAGATACTATATTATTAATAGCTACTAGTTGATGTTACTAAATGCGTGATACTCCAAATTTTAGACTGCATTTCTTTCCAGTCGGAGCATGCACCGTCGACAACGACCTTAATGCTTCTGTCCGCAAGGAAGCTGGTGACCCAATTACACAATTTCTCGGGAAGCCCAAAGGAAGGGAGCTTCGAAAGAAGCGCCTTAAGCCAGATCCGATCTAAGGTCTTCGCTATGTCCAAACTAACCGCACAAGCCTCTCCTTATGTCTCGATCGCCTGTGCCCACTGGTGCCACAAGACGAGAAGATCACCAGCTGAGCGACCCCGGCGAAAACCATATTGTTGAACCGGATATCCGGCATATAGCTCTGGCACCGCGGTATGGTCGGCGGTACGTTTCCCCCGTCATCCAAAGTCGAGTTGGATGCAAACAATGTGCCTAGGAGATCAGCTTTCTCCTTGGCATCATAGGCCAGCGAATTATCTCCCATCTGCAGGGGTGGAAAGGATCGGCTACAGAAATTCCCCTGGACAGCCTTGGCAAGAGACCAGAATGCACGAGTTCCAGAAGGAAGTCTCGCTAGTCTGTCACCGATTCGGCTGATGTGCTCCGATTTCGCCCTAGCAATGGCTCTTTTAAGGGACCTGGAGTCAAAGTTATATTGTTTTAATAAAACCTTAAACTTAAAAAATTAGATATAAACCCTAAACATCTCTATAGACTTAAAGAATTGTGTAAGTCTAATGCATACTTACTGACACAATTCTTTTTATGTTAGGCATATATTTTTCTTTGTTGAAAAATTCTGCGCGGGAGCCCCTTTGTAACCTCGGCCTCCTCCTAAGGGATAATCCGCCACTGGCAGAGGCGGATCAAGTATCTAGACCGCCCTAGGTAAACATCTCATCGGCGCCTTCTGCATATCGCCCATACTATATTTATTAATAGGTTGACTTTATTATATACGAGATAGTGATAACTCCAAATAAGTGGCATTTCTTTACTACAACTTTTTTATTTTGTTTTTTTACGTTTGGAAACCCCCATGGGCTGTCGCCCCACCGGGGTTTGCGGTCTGGCAGTGTATCAGAATCGAACCGACTAAAACGAAACGGCGTGTAAATTGGGCATGAAATAGGAGGGATCCGATAACAGATGTTATTAAGACGTGCTTTCTTGTTTTGTGGGGACAGGTGGCCTCACCTGTCAGCCCCAAGTAAGTGGAGACTTATGCAGGACGGAAGTCATGCAGCGACCTCCGGGCCCTGAGCCGCCTTCACACCCTGGCACGTTACCGGGCCGTAAGCCTCTTCAGGTTCCGTACTAAGTACTGTTTTTAAATTCGGCTTAAAATGATTTAACTAAGGTAACTAAGAGGTAGTTGTCAGAACCACTCTTAGTTATTCGGTTTGAATATGATATAATAAAGCTTATTCACAAATAGCTTAAATTAAAGTTTTATTTATCAAACACAGACAACAAATTATATTTTTAATTCGTTTAAAAAGAAAATACCGGGAGACTATCAGGCTTAGGATACTTTTTCCTTAAATTTGCAAGACGTTGACCTCTAAAATGTTTTTATGGTACACCAGGACACTTTCAGTGACAATAAATGGGACCGGTATTGGATGCTGCAAGCTTTTTACATTAGATATTATGCCTAAATTTTTTTGTTTAATTAATATGGGACTACAATATCTTCTTCTTTGATAATAACAATATGAATTTATTATATTATTTTATTAAAGAGAATGATTCACTAGTTATTAAAGGTATTTTTTTGGATTTGTTTCTTAGGCTTAGGCTGTAAAAAAATCTCCATTCCATTCTAATAAAAAAGAATAAATCAAAAAGTTTGTTACGATTCCGAAATAAAGAAGGTCAAAAAAGTAATTAACTAACGTCACACATATGATAGGGATAGGACATAATGTTTCCGTAATATTTAATGACCTATCTTTGACGTCATATGGAGGTCATGTGTTCACTGGGTACAGGACGACGGGGATCGTTAATTTGTTTATTTTTGATGACATGGGGGCTGGAGGGGATCTAGACGGTGATTACTTCAGCAATATTTAATTATTTACTATTTCGGATTTATTATATGCTGATGCTTATACCATGATGACGGCTTATTACCGGTGGAATCTGATACCTGTTCACCCAACAAAACCTTCCAGCTACTTTTAAAAGGTTACCTCAAATCGCCACTGAGCATTAAATTTGACAATATCACTGTAAAAAATAAAACCTCAGTGTGTTATTTAGGATTAGTTTTAGAAAGCAACCGTAGGGGCTGTCCATCGCAAACTGTTACAAGGCCAACGACTTGCACTGATATTTTTGTGCAAGGCATATCGCGGTAAAATAACAAGATTGCTTCAACCGTATAACAGTCCGATGTTAATAATGCCCTCATAAACGAATGGCAACAACGCTGGGACGAATCATCCAAGCGGCGCCATCTTTACCAGTTCTTTCCATCTGTTCGCGAACGGTTGTCAAGGACATGGCTTGAGGTGGATCACTGTGTCGCTCAATTTCGGTCAATGTTGCACTGAAGTTTCACTGGTAGTCCAGTAGTAGTGGTAGTCACTTACCATTAGGTAATTCGTCTGCTCGCTTGTCGCCTTTTCTATTAAACATAAGTTTATCAATTAAATTCTCAGTTCTCCCGCTTAGGGTCCTCATAAAGAGGTTGGCAATTGCCATTCCGCGTAGGAAGCAGGGAACGCAGCAAGTGTTATTTACCATTTGCTGCTGCCATCACGGTCACCACATTTTGAGTATTATATTTTTTTTTTTAATTAACATCATACAGATCAATTCAAAATCTCATAACTCTCCTGTGAAATATAACTTGTAATATTTCTCTCTTTGTACATAGTAGGGACTGTCGAAATACTTACCCGAAAACAATTTCAATAAATATATTAAGTATATTTTATTATAAATAATACTTATCACAAGCTGACAACTATGTCTCAGTTTTTTGTTGTTTTGATATATATTTAGCGAAAGACAAAGATAACATGCCTAGCACTGCACTTCCACCGCAAGCGTATGTTAGCACTCCTCGGTAGTACTGGGGACAGTCAGCTTCGTTTTCACATTTGCTGTAATTAAATTTTTTATTAAATATTTTTTATTTAAATGTAATAAAAAGTAACCTTGTTTTTTATAAAATATTAAAAAATCATTCACTCATGCTTACGCTTAAATTAATTTCTTACTTATTTTCCCCTTTTGAAACTAAACTAGTTTCAATAGTGGACGTTCCATTAATAATAATATTCTACCACATTCAGACAACGCCATCTAGTCCCTAACAAAGCAGAGCTTGTACTATGGCTACTAGACAACTGATACTCTTTTTGACTGACATTTATACTGGCATTTTTTTTGTAAATACATACATATTATACATAGAAACACCAAATGTTTGACTTGAGCGGTAATCCAACCCGCGACCTTTGGAATAGCAGTCGGTTACACAGACCAATACGCCATCCGATCGTCAGATTGATCGATAACCTCTCTGCCTATATTATTATCAATAGTATTTATAGAACTTAAGATTATTTTAACAAGGTGAACCCACTCTTATACTACTACTACAATTAAGTTACATTTCGAATGCAAAGTTAGAACAAGAAAGTATAAAAATACATACTAATTTTCTATAGCGACAACTGCAATTCCCGTTACCAGTTTGTCGGCAAAAGTGACGATAGAGTAGATTGCAGCACCCTGGTGTGAGTGGGGACCAATTAAATCAGCCGTCACACACAAACTAGAGACTAGTGTTATTGAACTACCTGCTCCTGAAATGATTTAATTCGAATATTAATAAATATATCACGGTAAACGGATTTTATGTCAGCTATAAGAAACTTACAGCCTTTTAAGGGTTATCATTAAGTATTAAATATTATAAAGAACTTGTTCTACGTCGTTTCAAAGTGTTACATCTAGGTATATTGTTCAATTTTGGTTAAAATTAATTATTGTCCAAAAAACTGTAACCCTATATTTGCATACCTACTACTGACAACATATGTATAGTGCCTTTATTTTTCATACCATCCTTTTGTACCACATTATACGCAAATTAAATTATTATTATTATTAAATGATTGTGATTAAATGCGTATGTTGTTACCCTTGTGACGCATTCACAACACATAAAATCATTATCAGTGGCGGCCTTAGACATTGAGAGGACCCAGGTAGGTAGATTATTCCAAGCCCCCCGGACAGGTAGATAATTGCAAACCGGCAGCATATGTCTCAGGATGAATTGGGTTGTTGAGTGAGTGCGCGAGGACTCTTCATGCGCGAGGTCCCGGGCGGTTGCCCGGCTCGCCACCCCCAAAGTGCCGCCTCTGATCATTATCTATATGTCGCGACCGTATACGGCCACGGCGACTTGGAACTGTTTAATGAGAGCTTCGTTGATGTGCTCTCAGATAACTGAAATACCTGATTTTTGCCGTGAACGTGGGTCCACATTCACTGCAAGTCCGCAGCCCCCGATATAATTATAATGTATGTATGCACTCGAACTCGAACACCTTCGTGCGCACAGTACGTCTCCATAATGGCCAGTTTGCCACCCCTGCCTCTTACTGCGACGGGTCAAGGTGGCAACGCTTCATGTGACGTTACAGCACGTCTTTGTAGCGCAGGAATCGGCCGCCTTGTGTTCGTTTGCCATCTTGTAGTTCTGAGTAGAAGATGCGCTTAGCCACTCTGGTGTCAGACATCCGTGAGACATGACCGCTCCACCGCAGCTGCCGCTACATTAGGTATGCCTCTATTCCACCGACATTTGCGCGTCGTAGAACTGCCGTGTTTTGTACACGGTCAGACCAGTGGGCGTCATAACGTCGCGTACGCATTTAAGGTGGAATCTATCTATTGTGCGGATATGTTTGTGGTACAGGCAACACGTTTCGGAGCCATATAGGAGATTGGGCAGGACGATGGCCGTACACACCTATTTTCGTGGGGAGGTTTATGTCATGTGAACGGAATCCGCATACATCGTTTCGGTAGGTAATGATAGTGTGCGACATATTGTTGTGAGCTTTTAGTGTAGATAGATTAGAGACTCCACCGCCATCGGTTTGAAAACGAATACGAATGCCGTCAGACAAATCCTGCAAGGCCGCCCTTACTACTATGTCGTCATGCAAGAGTCGGATCATTTTTACCAATTTATCCGTGCATCCAAGTTCCTTCTGGTTCACCAATAGGGCCTCGTTAACAAATATCAAAACATAGGTACCCTCACACGTCATTCCATTCGATCGGAAGCTAAATTGGGTTTTAGGCTATATGTTTTTAAATAGGAGCATTAAGAGGTTAAGTAGGATTCAAGCAATAACTTTGCCCGCAGAAGTCAGAAAGCAATTTCAATCTGATATGTCGCGTTTGTTCTTATACAGGGAATAAATAAGAGAGACTCGAAAATCCTGAGGTACTTGATCATCATCCCACATTTAAACGAACAGCTTCCAAATGGTTTCGTGCAATTTCTTGCCTCGATACTTAAGCAGTTCTCCAGGTGTATTGTTAATGCTGACCGCTTTTTGGTTCTGCTGTTGTTGGATGGCATTAGCTACCGCGCGCAAAGATGCACCTAAATCTTAAAAAAAAACGGTAGTGTACTGAAAAAAAAACAAATTTTGACGAGCGAATGATCTCGTCTTCAAAATGTTTAAACAAACGTACGTAGAGACACATACACAATAAGCTGATTTTACTTACCTATTAATGTAGCCACCAAGTATATTTGAACTATGCTGGCTTCAGGATCTATAAATACGGCTATCCATGCACAACTAGTTAGACTTAGTAAACTTCCTATTAAATACGCCACCTGTTGAATAATTATGGTTAATGTTTATTAGACATTATACAAATATAAACAAATGTATAGGAGGTAGACTAGCAGAGGCGCTTTTTTACAAGTTTGAAGAAGTAGGTGCCTTCCAATCTAAGCGGTTTAAAATTTTAAGGCTACTATGGACTGATTTCTGTTATTATTAACTACTGACGATATTCCGTACAACATTCCGTAAGCAATTTTGTTGTGCATTGCTTTGCATATCTACACATACTCATAACGACAAAAAACCAGAATAAGTTATCACTCGTAATCTATACAAGTAAAAATAAAACAACGCACAAACCTGATTGCCACATTGGTTGATATTACTTTTTAATAGTAGAGAGAAAAAGAATGAAGACACGTATAAAACCAGAGGAACACTGGCTACCAGTTCGGATCCCGCACTGGGGTTGTACGACAGTCGCTCTTCTAGAAAAAGTGGTACGTAGACTAAGCTCAGAGCCCAGTATAATCGAGAAAATACGTATCTGTAAGAGAAATATGACAAATATTAATTTAAAAATTAATACAAAGATAAATAATGGCAGCTGAAGTGCATGTGAATTGCACTGCTTCTGCTTTTGTACCTTTATTAGTAGTTAGAAAAATTCATATTCATTTTAAAAAATCCAGCAAGCAATAATCGTGGGGTTTAGAAATACATGTATTAATAACATAGACCCGTTCAGCCTTTAGGACTCTTACATGGTGTAAAGTCCTGGTACTCGTAAAACGTAAGCCTTCTTAGCAGTTAGGTAAAAAAATATGGTAGGTAAAAATAGCCTTACAGGCAAAAGGCCCATCTTACTTCAAAAGTTATCTTCAAAGAATTTTATTTGAAAATACAGATGAATATGCATAATATTGGTACTTACAATAGACTTGTTTGATAAAGTAGTGGCATACGCAGAAAATACATAATCTTTGATTTTGCAATTTTTACTATTTGTTTGTTGCCTTCTTCATCCAAGGTCATCGATTGATTATTTATAGCATGCCCGTTAGATTTTTCTTCTTTAGTTGACTTTAGTTTGAAAAATATTTGAAATATTAGGTATGTAAGTACTCCAATTCCAGAAATAATTAGTGATACATCCTGAAAGAATTATAGTGAAGTTAATAATTGTATAGAAATGTTTATAACTTTGGCCATTCAAAACTATTGATGATATTTGTATTTTAAGCAAGGTGTGACTTTTGTCTTAGTTTGCACCTTAAATAAAAGCTGTGTTGAAGAAGCTACTGCTGTATAGAGTAACTTTATCGTATGTTTATAACATATCCAATCGCTTCTAAACCCTGTGGTACTCGTACTTCCATTTCTATCAGATGGTGTTTTTTCAAATACATTTTAAAATCACAAAAATCAAACATATAAAAAAAAAATGTCTTTTTGTATTTTCAATAATGTAAAGAAATATTTAAACGTAACTTATAAAACATTTTACCCTGAATTTGTAATCGTCTAGAGGCCCAATATATGGCCTGTAGTTAGTGGCTCTCAGAACTACCCAGGTTATGAGGTATACAGCCAAGCTTGATGTCACTGATGCCATGTATCTGAAATATAGGTCCTAACATGATCATCAAATGCAAGTAGTTGCTGTGTATATAGATTTTTGAAAAGTATTAGCCAAAGTGGATCATGACCAACTCTTTGAATAACCTTGTGCTTTAGGGTATTCATGGTGATTTACTTCGCTGCATCATATATGTCTGGTTAACATATTAACTGATATAAATCTCTAGTCAGATCACAATTGGAGTATATTGTAATGATATAGAACCCCGTTTATAAAAAAATCATAGAAGTTCTCGAAAACGTAGAGGATAAACTTCTAAGAACCGATGTTTTCATTCCCTCCTACTCGCGGCCATCGTGTCTATAAATTTCAACATATTTTTACTCACCTGATTGAAGTTAAGTCAGCGCGAACTTGCAAATTATCCGATATAGAAGGGATCATTGCTAAATGAGATATCTGTACCACAGCCCAACCAATCTGGAACACTACGATAAGGACACCATAGTACACAGGCATCCACCACAGGAGGTAGTCATGGTCATCAGTAATCCAGCAGCCCCAACATCTCACAAACAGCAACGGAAACGTACACGTAATTAAAATGCAACCTGCGAAGAAAAGTTGAAATGGTCATAAACGACTTTAGAAATTATATCAAGAATATTTTCATGTTGCTCAGAACCGAGAGGCATAGGTAGACTATCCGAGGTAATCGTTTTACCTATAAGTCGAATAAAATATTTTGTTACGTTGCTGAGTGTCGTCAGTACTTCACAATAAGCCAATCGAATAAACCACAGTACTAATCAAATTACAAAATTTACTGTATTTTACGTGCAATTATTTGAATCAATATCTTTTTTTTATGATCAGAAGAGGAAACTTAGTTTTGGAAAATGTTCTTATGAACACAGAAAAGGAAAATCACCTGTAAGATTATGTTTATTACATGGTTTTCTATTACAGACAATGAGTAATTTGTTCCAGCGAGATAGCTAGCTCCGAGGGGATTTGCGCACGAAAAAAGGGTAATCAGTTACTCATTGGGCGAGGATAAAACCCGCAGCATTTCATTTTACTTTTAGTTAGGTATTACGCTATTAGAGAGCATCAAATTTCATACATACCTGTTAAATGCCAGCCTTTCTTGTTGCCGTATTTATCAGCTAACATTCCAACAACTGGTGTAGCTAAAGCGTCAATGACTTGTCCTGGAAATAATTAATGACGATATCATTATATACCTACATTTAGTATAATATATAAACCAATTCAATCTCAAGGCCGCTATTTTATAAAATTCTATATGTAATTGTGTAAATGCCAGTAGCAATTTAAAGCATTTACTCGCGTTTACAAATGCACAGAGCGTAGAGTTTATGAGAAAAATTGTACAAAATTTATACACCGTAAAGTTTGGTGTCTATATACTAAACCCTTTGATTTTAACATCATAAATGCATTTTTTTCCAGGTGCCAGCATCTCCACTGCGTAGGTTTTTTTGCATACAATTTTTTATTATCTATGTTACCCTCTTTAAGTTAGTTGCGACAAAAAATGGCCTTTGTCTTTCTCCATAGTTTTGTCCATTCTATACAGTCACTCTCGTAAATACAAAGCAATAGTAAAGCACATTTCATGCTTTATTCTTTCTGTATCCCGTTTGACCTTCCTTTTTTTTCGTAACTTTTATTTTACTATAGCGTAGTAGTCTGTTTTGTAGAGCATGTTCATGGTCTACCGATCCGAATTGTTTTGACTTGCGACAATTTTACAGATTCAAATTGTGGCAGGTCAAAACAATTAAAAAAGTCAAAACATCGGTATTAGACACAGAAAAGGGTGATCTAAATGAATTTCATAATTACCTGTTTTGTCACAAATTTTTAAAACGTTACTCAAGTTTAGTCAAAACAGATTACTAAAGAAACAGTTGTACTAAAATGTTATTTTCGTATTGACGAACCTTCCTCACGAATAAATCCTTGGTAAAAAATAGACAGTACGGTTCGGTAGTTTCTCCGGTGCTGTGACACTCACAGAATGGAGGCAATTACTGAATGGCTGCTTGGTTTACCTTACGAAGACACCGAAGACCTAATCGCATCTCACACATACACACATACACACACACACACACACACACACACACATACATACCTCAGCATGCAGTCATTATCAAACACATTTCATTAAATGTAATTTGTTGTAAGTTCTAAATAAATAATTTATTATTATTATAATTATGGATGTCATGACAATGATTTTATTATTATTTTCACACATGAAGCAATACTGTAAAACTATCAACAATATAAATTTTACGTTTTTCTTTAATAGCTTAGTAATACTTAAGTCATTTCTATGACGGACATGAAATAAATAAAATCCATAGTTTCTTTGTTTAAACAGGAGCATGATTCTCCACGATATACCACGTTCTTCTTCTTTATTTCTACTTATTTTCCTTCATTTATCCTTATATTATGGCCTTTTTACGTTTATTTTACTACTACGTACTAGTTTTTTTATCTGGGTTCGTTCGCGTAACAAAGAACCCAGAATTAGAAACAAATTTACTTACGCTTTTACAAAATACAATAAAATTGACATGCTATTATAGAAAATGAGTTTTGAATAGTATTCCTGTACACTATAAATATATAAGCGCTAACAAATACTGATAGATGGTACACCTTTATAACCATTGTAATTGTAGTTTTCTTTCCATCTATTTATTACTTTCATCTTAATCCACACCACCATTTAATCTGTGACTTCTATCTTAGAATTGTTCTCTGAGAAAGAAAGACAATGAAATAAGTTTGGATAAGATACTAAAAGCGTACAATACTCGTATTTGAAACTCTTGCTTTCAAATATTTTATCGCTGCTAGAAGACGTTGAATTTTTAATGTTTGGAGGAAGGCGAAATCTAACTGTAAAAAAGGCGCTATTACTCACCAATTGTGCTCTCATACAAAGGGCCTTTCTCTTTGTATTCAAGTGAGGGGTAAAAAAATCGTAGTATCAGTATTTTAAGTTTTGTTGGAATTTTGATAGATAAAATTTGAATATAGTAAACTAGCTGTATAGAAAATATTTAGATTTAGGATTTCCAAGAAGGATTTAGAATTTAATTTAAATTACACTAGATTTAAATGACACTTTTACAAAAGATAAACATAGTGTAGCGGAAATACTTACATCTAATGTTATTGTGTTTGTGGTGAGTCAACATTACGTTATGGCTTTTCATTATAGATTATGGGTTATATATTTTCATGTAAGTAAAATAATAATTCTCTATGAGTCACATCATTATTTTGTAGAATTTATAATGCTATTTGAACGAATAGCAAATATGTCGGCATATCTAATATCTTATTCTATTTTTATTTTATGGTATAAGGGACGAAATGAGTAGACGGGTTACTTGATAGTAAGTGACTATCCCGCATTGGATGTCTACAACTTAGAGTGACACGTTGAGATGGAATAAAATCACAATAACATGTGATAAATCATATGTTTTCTAAATCTTATGTGCACGTCACTGCTACTTAATTATTATTTTTACGCTGGCGCAAGACTCGCGTAAGGTCTAAATCTAAAAAACGAGTCATAATTTTTGATAAAAACAATTTTGATTGATTTGAATGCCATTAACTTTCTCTATGACGAAATCACAATCACATGTGATATTGCTGTGACTACTAATCATTTCATCAAATGAATATGACCCAAAAGTAGCAATAATTCCCAGTCTAGTGACAAGTGCATAGTCCCCCTTTGGGTCCCTCCCACCACAACCAGAGAGAAATGTTTGAATCTATTGGTGTTTTCCTCTCTGAAAAGTAAGAAATATGTTTCATAAATCAAATCACTATCACATTGAGAATTAATGATTAATTTTTAAATTTGAAAGTATTTTTAATTTGAGAAACATTTATATCTGTATACACTTCTATATCTATTTATTTATAATCGTATGAGACAGGCACAGGACCGATTAGTTGTTTATTTTAATTGTTTAGTTGAATTTAAAATTATCTGCTAATAAAGTTTTTGTATATTTAAATAATTTGAAAAGTGCAATTGTGTGCATGTTTGATGACAATCACAGTTTAAATGACTGTCAAATATTTTTTGGTCAGTTTATTTAATATTAATTAATTAAAATTTGATGTGGTAGAGAGATGACCAACTCAGCCTTGGATAACAGAAGTTATATCATTAGAAATTCTTCACTGACGTTTGTAAATATTTGAATTAGTAGTAATGTATTATCTGCAAACATCATTATCGCTTGAGTATTTTTTACGAAGTTATAAAGTGGTACTTAAATATTTATGAGTAACGAGCCAACGAAGTGCAACGAACATAATATGTTTCCTACATTTGAAATATAGTACCAATAAATATGTAAGATAATAAGTAGGTATAAAAAAATATATTTTTAGAGTTGTATAAGATTTCTTATACTTACGTTCCCATAGCGATGATCTTAACCGTACTTTAAACTACGCTGAATTGATAAATTGAATTGAGAAACTGTCGTGGGTGAACATGCAGACCTATTTTTAACCGACTTCAAAAACACAAAAGAGGAGGTTATTAGGTATTCGTCTGTTTTTTTTTTGTATGTTTGTTACGTGATATCTCCGTCAATTGTGGACCGATTTTAAAAATGATTTTTGTAATCAAAAGGGTATACTCCCGAGATGGTCCATTACCAAAAAATTAGGATTTGGGGATTTGATCCTAGAGAATTTGAGGGAAACCTTCGAATTTCACCTTTAGGAGTTACATGATAACTCTTTCAAAATCTAACCACATATTGACCTCGTTTTTTCTGTTAAGATATTTGTGAGGTATTTTGTGTTGGGTTATAGAGATATGTGCACAAAAGAGTATGAGATTACAAAACATTTAGACAAAAAAAAAGTATGTTACGCAATTATTTTTATGTTTGCTACCTCAAAACTCTTCCATTTGTAAACGGATTATGAATTATTATTTTTTTATTTGGAAGGGTATATTTCCCCATTAGTTCCATTCAAATGTGAAGAAAACCCCTAGTTTTGGCAAACTAAGTAATGTGGAAAACAATATATTCTCGATTTCAAGAGTAACATCTTACTGCCTGATCTAAATAAAGTAACGGATTATATTAAACTATATTTAATATAATCAAACAAACTACAGTTTGGTACTAGACATTACGATACGTAGTGTTTTAAATATCGTACTTATCTACTCATTACAAACATATCTTACACTAAAAATGGTAAAATAAATCCTTTAAAAAAAAAGTTGAAACGACTTCAAACAATACTGACAAAGGGCACTAAAAATTTAAAAATTATTACAAATGTAAGGAAAAAAAAACTAGAATAAGTACCCTCAATATAACAGGTAACATTATAATAATAATAGTCCGTTCTAGTCTGTTTGAAGTCGTTGCCCAGCCAAATAGATGCTTTAGGTGCCAAACTAATTTAACAAAGCGAAATCACATTCATCGACATGATCATTAATCATCAACAGCCTTTAGTAGTCCACTGCTGGACATCGGCCTCTCCATATAAATGAGGTTTTGGCCTACTACGCTACCCAGTTGGGTTGGTAGGTATAGGGTTTGTGTCAAGTTTTCCTTCTCTTTGCAGTGTTGTTGTCCTGCGTAATTTGCCCCCTCAAGCGGCTCTTACGGCACCCCCCGGGACAAATAGGGGTGGTGACACTACGTATTCTTAATTCGTCACTACACTGATTTTCACACAATCACACATTATATCCATAAATAAGTAGGTATTAGAAAGTTGAAAGTTACCAAGCAACAACAGAGCTCCAGCAACAGCGGCCCTCATGTTAAGAACTGCTTGGAAGAATAACATCATGTAGGAGAACCACATGGCTGCACAGAGGTCGTTGTACACGTGGCCGAGACCATAGAAAATGTTCTGACTGATACGCCACCATCTTCGGTTTAGTGGTCCACTGAAAATGAAAATATATTCTTACTATGTTAAGATGGAAAAGACATGCACTCTCTGTTTAAATTTGACAGTTGAGTCTATTGGGTAAGGTTATCTATTTATCTGTACTTTAAGCTTCAGTTTTTGTTCAGTCAGTTATATCTATACTTATATTAGAAATGAGAATGTCAGTTTGTTTGTTTGCTACTCTTTTACGGCTAAACCACTTATTTTTGTAAATCAGAAAAATAATTACCAATGGAAAGCCAAATTATATATTACATATGTTAAATTCGATATTACAAAATATAGTTTTCGAATTAGAAAAAGCAATTATTTCGTTGCATTTCGCCGATTGAGTGCGGTTACCCCTTATTCTGCGGGACTCAAAAGGCGGCAACTCACTTGTTTGCTTCTTTTAAGTTGCAGGTGTCTATGGGGGCTATAGTCAAGTACCATGATGTGACCCTTCTGCTCTTTTGCCTCCTAGGTCGTTAAAAATATATTTTGTGAAATGTTTCCTCAGTCAAATTGTTGTGGATCAGTACTGTAAAAGACGGATTTATTACCTTGCGTTCATACTGTAGAACTCCCTTTACTACTTTAGATTCTATCAGGGTTGATTTAGTTCGGTTGGCAATTAAGATGGGTTTATAATACTGTTGCATTTTACATCCTATTGCACATTTGATGGACTATATAAGTAATATCTGAACTGCAAAAACTGACTACTATTTATACGTTAGATATTTATAATGTTGATGAATCTACACAAATAATATTTATTTATAGGATGGGAAAAAAAATGTTTTGAAAATATATTCACGTCTCATTATGTTTCATAGTTCCACACCCTAGGTAGGTCAAACAGTTTTTTAAGTTTAAATAATATTTTTAAAGGTGTTGTTACGATTCTATATTTGGTTTAGTTAGTTGGGAATAAGTTTTTTTTAACCGCCTTTAAAAATAATACCTAAAGTATCAGTTCCTATCATTCGAAATAAAATATTATGTACGCACAATTAAAATATTATATATACTTTCATACATTCATAACGTATGATGAAAATATTTAAAAAAATCGACCTGTGTTCAAACAACTTTTCGTCGCATTGATTAAATCTTAAGCTCTATCCGTCTGATAAAATTCCCATCAACACTCTCATTGTGTAACTCTTCTCGACATCAATCGGTTCAAGTCCTTGGAAATCCTGTGTTTTTGTTTTGGAAACAACGATCCCCACGCTGCCGGGTCGCACTGTAGTGAGTAATTTTACTATCCGCCCGTGACAGAATTACCAACAAGAGCTGCTTAGTATTAAGAAGTTAGCATATCTTTGATAATTAGGACGGTCACTTAATTATGGAATCACTAGAATCCTTACCGCCTAAATAAGTTTTCGGAACCAAGATGTAAAATTATGGATTGGATTCGGATTCGAAAGAAGAACGTAAGAAGAAAGGAATGAATGGTGAAAATACCAAATAGTTGAAGGATAGCATCCACAAAATATCTACGCCAAGAATGATCGATAAGTTTACATAATGAAACGTCAAACACTAGTCCTCAGTACGATAATATAATTTTATAAATATATCCTACCTATCTTACTTAGTTTCATTGTTCGAATAAAATGACGTATAAACACAGCATGAGAAATTAAACAATATTAAGTCATTGTGAACAGTTAGATGAAGTACCTACTTGAAGGATTTCGTTGCCAACTTTATTGATCGAGTGGCATCGAGTTTAATAAGTCCAATTGGATAAGAAAGGATGGTTTTATATGTTTTAACGTATGTATGTATGATATGAATGTTTGTAAATTGACCTTGTTGCTAACGTACAGTTTCTGCTGATACCTTAAAACGACGGACAATTTTACCCATTATCTTATAGCATGCCACTAATAGGATAAGTTGCTCCAAACTGAATTAGCAACGTATTAGGTTCTCGATAAGATTGTTCAACTGCTAAATTACCTCACATGAATTTCAACCGTAGTTGGTTTTTCCTTATCGGTCTCTTCTTTTTTTCCTAGGACGTCAGTCGCACCATATTTCACACTCATTTTATCACTGAAAATATAGTTTGCGTATGCGGCGTTCGATGAAAACAGCAATATTTTATATTAATTGTCTAAAATCCACACTGAATAAACTAAGACACAATGTTTTTCACAATATTCTACTTTTACAACTGTGCTAACAGAAACTCCTTAGAAGTATTAATGTATTTATTGTTGAATATTTGTTGCGCATTGTACGCGAGGGCGGCCGCGTGTGCTATGAATGGAGCTCTCAACTTGTGTGACATCAAATTAGCCCCTATATAGAGCAGAGTAACATACACTGTCTAGTCTTTGACAAAGTTTTGTTTCTAGGAATAATTAATAAGTAAAGAACTAGCTATTGGTTGTTTATTTGAAGTAGAACACACACATAATAATATATGAAATGCAAATGTTTCTACAGTGCCTACAAATGTAAAACAATTTGTAGACAGAAACTGTTTTACATTTGTTATTCTTTTGATTGAATACATTTACATGTTATTCATATAATAATTATTATTGTTAATAGCATCTGAAATTATCAATTATTACGTTTTACCTTTTAAATAGAAAGAGGAGACATAATATTTAAGGGAAAATGGGATTTCCGACAGAATGATCGTAGGTTGTTTCTAAATTGATGTTAGTGAAGTAGAAGCGAGGGAGCCCTATATCTACATACATACGTGTTGTATACTAAAGTATGCATAATATAATGTAGGTGATTTGACATAGCAGTGGCTTCCGTGGGTATAGGGTTTCCTTTGTACCCGTCTGTTCATGCTTCACTAGCTCCGAGTGTAGTGACACTCCAGTAAGAGTTTTGTGAATTTTATTCACATTTGAATTTAAGTTGTAGCTTCTTACGATAGACGACATGACCCAAGTTAAAGTAGATTTAATAGTTATGTTTATAAGTATTGTAATACTATTATTAGGTATGTTTTTATTTAATAGGACACGATTAAGGAATAAACATTGAATATTGCAAATTCATTTTCACTTCACGGGAACAAAGTGGAACATTTTTATAATTTGAGTAGACATTTTACTGATGTACTGAAAACACTTAATTTTTTTGACATTATGATAGTTTGATTCTTCAAGTAATATAATAATGTGAACCTAATCTCATACATGCAATACCTCAAGGGCTTATAAAGTGAAAGTTGTTAAGTTTTACTTACTATAATACACAAACAACGTGGGTTTTACTTGCTATTTTTATATCGATTCATACTATGTATTTCTGTGTACCTATGAACCTGTTTTAAACCGATTTCAAAAAGAAGGAGGTTATTAATTCCGATGTTTTTTTTATAAATGTTTGGGACTCCGTTGTATATAGACAGATTTGCAAAAACTATTTTTTTGTCGAAAGAGGTTTATCCCGAATTGGTCCCATTTAAATTTCATATAGATCTGATGATGAGTTAAGTTGTAAGTTGTTGTTAAGTTGTTGTGTTTGATGAGTATCGGAGAAAATTACAGCAAATCAATCGCGATTGCTTCTGGGTTTTTAGTGCTCTTTGTCATTACATAGTATTGTTTGAAGTCGGTTCAACTCTTTTTTAAATAGGATTTTATGTATAATCAAGTAACATACATAAAAATATACGACGACTTGTTAATCTCCTCATTTTTTGAAGTCCTGTTTGAAGACTTAACAGCGGTACAGTACTCTATAATTTTATTTGGTTTGGTAAAAGTAATATTATATAAAAAATTAAGATCATGAATATTGGGTTTGTAAATTAATAGATATATGTTATATACTAATAGATATTGTAATTATTTGATGATTAACATATTGTGTAGACAGACTGTGTAGGACTATGAAGGTTAAAAATATTGACAACAAATAGAAGTATTGCAGCTGTGTAAGTGAACATTTAAAGGGCGGTTATATCATGTTGGGATTCTTATCTTCAAAACCTCCTTTGGTAATAACTAACTTATAATACAGTTAGGGTTTAATGCAAGAGACAAAGAAGAAAGTATTGAAGACGAATTACTATTTTTCTGGAGTTGCACATTTAATTTTGGTGGTAAGATTTAGAACTAGCAGAAGAGGTGAATTGAGGATGTATTACGTGGACCCGTGTTGAATCTGATTTACGATTTGCGTCGAGTCCCACAGTGGCAGTTAATCTTCAAGGGCGAGTAGAGATAACAGTTTCGTATACACTTTACATTTATGACACTATCTTCCATTGCTTTGGTGAGTACGTAAATAAAAACAATTCAGGATCATGAAGAAATCACGATTTGGTCTTGGTCGCGAAACTCACGCTTTCATGAAAAAGTAGACAGATTCGCACTATACATCCACATTATATATTGTATTTCAATATTGATTTAAAGAATCAAAATTCGGTAATTGAAAAGGGAATTAAGATAAGAAAAGTCAAAATAACAGACTTATATTGGTTATATGAATGATAATGCACATGAAGAGATGAGAGTAGCTTGTTTGTAGCTGAAATGCAACGATTCACACAGATTTATGGTGTGACTACGATGGTCAAGGTTAGGAATGAACACGTTACCGGGTGCTTGAAAATAACGAAAGTAGATATATAGTTAAAGATCGGAGTACTTTTTTTTTTTTTTTTTTTATTCCACAGACTTTATGTCCGTGCCCTTATTAGATTTGTTTGTTAGTTGTTGTTTCTGTCTTTTTCATCCTTTCTCAGCATTGACATTGCATACTTATTTTAGATTAATTATCTAGACTTATAATTAGTAACATGATTCACCTTAATTCGGAGAGAGATACCTAAGATCGGAGTATTAGCAGGTAATGCACTCCTATATCCATAAAATTTTCGTGGTATGCAAAAGTAATGTGGAGAGATAAGCAAAATGTATCGTTGAACATTTTATGTGTGTGTCGTGTACGGATCTTAAAATTTATATTGTGGTCGACCATTTCCTAAAAAGGTCTCTTTGTTTATGAGGACAAGCAAAAATTTTTTTGTACATTCATTATAGTACGCTCTTAGTGCATTAATGGTACCTAATTGACCCTAATAAAGCACCTTTGACACTCCGTATCCGGCTGTATACTGGCTTTTTATCGGGTAATAATTTGTTCTGGAATACTGGAGAGTTATCGCATGTTCATTCTCTATTGACCTTATAGCAGTGGACTATTAAAGGCTGATGATGTGATGTGAAATTATCAATTAACCAGGGTTTAGTTACCTTAAATTTATTACATAGGGATCCCTTCTACCGACTGTAATGTGTGAACGCTTAAGATTTCTCGGGCTTCCCTTCCCACCGCATAAAGCTTAACCTAGTTTACCTAAATAGATAAATGTCATCATGAAAGGATCAAGTACACAAGAGAGATTCAATTCAATTCAATATATTTATTCCTTTATGAGTTTAACATTATGATTGAAATAACAAAAAAATATTATACAATAAAAAATAGCAATGACAGTACCCAAAAAAATAAATAAAAATTAATAACAGAAAATGTCAATATTGTAAATAGGTTTAAGGAAGAACTATATGTAGCAGTTGCCCAACAATAGCCTGATTGATTTTTTGACTCGTAATTTGACATTATTAAGAGAGTTTTTCTTTTAAATAACATTAAATTAAAGATAGTACTATTAAATAAAAGAAAAACATCCTTGCTTTGTCTTACGCAAAAATGATATGACCGTCAATCTTTTGTTGAAGATGCTCATTCCGACTTGTAAACTTGTAAACTTGAATAAAATCTTTTTACCGATAGCTGTGTTCCATAGACTTATAGTTTTTCATAACTTAGGTTTACGTTTACGTTGTCACAGTCGTGGTTACGTGGTGTTGATTTGAGCTGTGGTTTGTTGTAAGATGTAGCGGTTGTTTTTAGAACAGGTTTTCCGTTGCACCCTGTCTAAGATAATAACTCAATAGTGTACTTTATTTTGTTCTTTTTTACATAATAATCTATTAGACTAAGGTTTATGAGTTAACTAGAAGCCATCATACACCTATGTACCTATAGCTGCGAAGTCGCGGTACAGTTTTAGTTTTTAATTGTATACATGGACAAAAAACAAACGGTAAGTATGTTTAAACGTATGCACAGCCGAAGATTAGCCCGGACATACATAGCTGAACAGTAGGTACCTACAGATTGACGTTCAAAAAATTATAATGTGTCGACATTTATGTAATATACTTAACATATGCACATAAACGTATATGTGTAAATAGATACTTACCAAAGGACATACGCACTATTGTGCACATTATTTGAATAGGCGCTTTAATTGTGAATCTCTTACTCAATAAATATAATAGTCGGTTCGATTCTAACATACCTACTACTCCACCGTGTCGGTGAGTAGATAAGTAGATAAGTAACGTAAGGGAATCGTAAGAGCCGGCTAAGGGAACAAACTACGCAGGAAAACAGCACTGCAAAAAGAAGGAAAACTTGACACAAACCCTATACCAACCAGTATGTTATAGTAGGCCAAAACCTCCTTTCTAATAAGGAGAGGTCTATATCCAACAGTGGACTATTAAAGGCTGTTTATGAAGGGATGATCATACACGATAAATAACTTACTTACTGATTAACTTAACTTTGATATTCCTTATTTGAATTCAATAAAACAAAGAAGTTTTTATGCAAAGAAAAACGATTGTTTGTAATGTTTATAATTACATTAATATTCGTTAGGCGCATTGCGATGCAAACAATATTATGCTATACATTGAAGAGTCCTACTCATTAATGTTATATACTCAAGCCTGTTTATGTCTGAAGGTGGCCAAAAGTGTATTACCATATTTTGCCTCTAAAGAAAAACCTCTAAAAATGGCAAATATACTTCAGAGGGCCTAGTGTAAGTTTATTTCATATCAACTCGACCGTCACGGACACAGAAATCGTAATAATTAGACACAGATAAGTGTCTTATTATTACGATTTCTATGGTCACGGATAATATGAGATCATTAGATTTGGATGCTCAATTTCTTTTGAAGTTTCTTTTGGTTACGGGCCT